GCGTGCTTGCAGCTCGATAGTGGGTCTGTTCCTAGCTGCTTGCACGGGCTCTCAATCCAACTCAGAGGTCTTCCTCTGCATCACTACTGTAAGTCATGGTCAAACCACGTAAACCTCCATCTCTCAACCCTAAACCCCTGACCTCCACCCGAAAACAACCTTAGATCCTAAACCCCCGACCCCGAAATCCCTTATTATTTTGGGCACCCTAAATAATAGTGCCGTATTATAAGAATGAGCCAAAAAGGGACCCTAATTTTGACCACCACCCATGTTGCGAAGCCAGGCCCGACCGTGGTCCACTTCCGACTTCACACACCCCTGGGAGACCCGGAGCAAAGAGCAGGGCTTTCATAGGCGAATCAAATCATCAGCCTGCCATGAAGTGTAGTTTTAGTATATACTGGAATACGTATTGGTATTAGTATTTGTATTAGGGTTAGGCCTCAAAAACCGATGAGAATACCAAATCCCGAAACTTACAAAACCCTTGGCTCAAACCCTGAACCTCAAACGATCTTCAGACCCGAAACCCCAGGACCCTTATGACTCCAGAGATTTGTGCTGGACGCTTGAAGGTTTTCGGGTTGAGTGGTTCACCGAGTTCTGCAATGCAAGGCACGTTACACGGACATCAGGACAGAGAGCGATCCACGCTTGAGCTAGCAACTGCACAGCGAGCTGTAAGAAAGGGCCTTGATAATTCCCTATACTATGTTGGGGTTCCTTATCATAATTATAGTAAGACGGGCCCCAAAACCCTGTTGTAACTGAAAAGGCCCCTATCGTATAGCTGCCAGGTCAACAAGCCGAAAAGCAAGGATACTCGATGCAGGTTCGCTGACATCGGCCACCATGTTTGTAATTAACTGCCCGGGACTAGTGTGTTGGAATGAGCCGACTGCATCATTCTGTCTGTCGTAGCTGCTGTAGCAGCGGAGGACAGTCACACCCACAAACACAAGCACTACACATACCCTCACTTCTTCAAAGTCCGAGGAGCAATGTTGGACAATTCTTCATTCCAAACGCCTAAAGCCACAATTCCAGAGCCATGCCCATACGACCTTTTTCCCCAAATTTGAAGCCGGGCCTCGCCTAGTTGTGGAGACGACTGTCGCCCAGGCGTGCTGCGGCAAGTGAAGACCATCTTACCAGTGGAGCCCTTCAAGCAGCCCGGCGCCATTCAGCAGTGGCAGGCTAAAACGTCCGGTGACCAGAAGGTAAATCAGCAAATAAATGAAGTCATACATACGCATGCGTAGATACTTATGCACATACATGCATGCACATGCGTGAATGCTGACATACATACATTGGTTCACATATACAGAATTACGTATATACGGCGCGAGGCAGCCCCCAGACCCTGCAGCCTGTGGCAGTATGCTACAAAGTCCAAGTGGGAGGGCCGCAACCATGGATTTCATCCCTATTCTTATGACTGCTGCTGGTATTATGATACTAGAGCTAGCTGTCGCCTTATTATTGTAGCTATCCCTGTCCAAATCCTCAGTTTTGTTGATGTCCCTGTTCAATGTTCAAACTACAGTATGACAGTATGAGTGGATTTTTATCAAACCGTCCGATTCATCAAGTTCCCCTGAACCCTGCACTTTCAACCTTAGCTATGGGAAGTTCCCTCCAATCCCTAAAACTCGAACCCTAAACCCCAAGACCCACTCTCTATCCCTAGCACCTGCAAAGGCAGTATGTCGAGGCCAGGTGGTATGCCGAAAGGTCTGTGCCGCGCCACTCAGCTGCACTCAAGGATTAACCCTCTTCTCAGGGGTTTAGTGTTGCCTGAAGCCTGCAACATCGTAGGGCAAAAGGCTTTCCGAAGGATTTCGGGTTTGGGGTTTACTTTGAAGCTTTTCGAACCCCTGGCCTGGTGTAAGTACACATATGCTATTCACTAGGGTTCCTGCATAGAGCGATGGCATAACATACCCCAAAACCGTAGTCCATTCCTGGAAAGCGCCCAGATGACAACCGAAAGCCTGTCTCTGGTCTTCGGAATTGATTCCTTGTAACCTTTGGCCGGATTTCAAAGGCTTTAGGGGTTTAAGGCTTGGGGTTTAGGGGTTTAGGGTTTAGGGGTTTAGGGCTTTGGGGTTGAGGGGTTTAGGGTTTTTGTCAAGTCCTGAACCTTAAACCCCAACAGCCTTCGAAGACCCGCGGCTAAACCCTTACCGGCGCAGAGGTCGTCTTTGATTACATGTTTTAATATTCCATTGCCATGAGTACTTGCTACTAGTTTTAGGGCCACGTTTAGGGTTTGGCGTTTTCATAGTTTACCATACTTCCGTTACTAGTAGCCACAGATGAAGACTCTTGTGATTCTGGTTGCCGTCTCCACAGCTTTGAAGCCCCAAGACTAAGACCCTAAACGGCTCAAAGTAAAGGTGCCATTGCCGTGGCGCTTGGAATCATCGGGGGGCGCGCCCTCGAGCAAGATCGCGATGCCGGGTTCCCCTAAACCCTGAAACCGGATGGATTGGGTTTTGATTTTAGGGTCCAGGGTTTGTGCCGTAGCCGCCCTAGCCGAATGTATACCAGGTGATCGCCGCTGACGGGGCTGATAGGGTTTTGTGCAGGTGTGTGCAAAATAAGGTGCGATAGAATTTTGGACATAACCAGACGGAGCGGGATTGAACGAGGCATGGCATGAGTTCTAGTAAGAGAGCTATGTTAGTTCGAGAGGCATTGTCAGGAGTGGTTTCTCATTTTCGACCCTTAGCCGAATACGCATACGTTAGCCTTAAAACCCGAATCCCCAGGCCTGAACCCCAAACCGGGGCGAAAGAGGCGTGGTGGTTTCGATTTGGCGGTTGCGGCCTATTGACCTCACTCCTTTCGCAGGTTCAAGGCGCTAATCTAGAAGCCTGAATAACTACCGACATTATATCGTCCTTGCATGGGGTTCCTTATTATAACTATACGGTTAAGCAGCCCAAGCCCCCCTCCCATTCTAGTTATTAGGGCCCCTTCTTTGGGGCCCTCAACCCTTGCGACCGGAAATCTGCCCGTTCAGAGCCATGCACTGCGGAGCCTAGGCTTCGAGAGCCTGTAAGGAAGACGAGCTCCCCCGGGCCAAAACCCTAAAGTTTAGGGTTTAGGGTTTAGGGAAACACGCCGAAATTTCCAAGAGAAAGCCGCAAAGCAGGAGTATGAAGCTCTCGCCTCTGATGCATAACCATGCAAGCAGGGGAAGATTGAGTCATACCGGACCTCTGCTCGGAGGGTGTGGGTTTAAATCCTTGCCTGCCGGAAGGTGTGGGAGAACAAGATCTACCACAAGAAGCCAGTTCTCATGTCGCTTTCCCAGAATAGCTTGTGGTTTCTGGCACTTCAACTACGAGAACCGAAGCCGTGTCCTCCGCTTGGGGCGATGCGGGTAGGTGACCGATGGTTGTGGTGAGCCACACTGAGGCCTAGGGTGCATGGCTTTGGGCAGTCTTTGTTTCTTCGTACAGACTAGCGCTGAACTGGCAGCATGGGCAAGGCAACGATCAAGTCTGAGTGTTTAGCAGCGTTGCTGCTGCATTGATCTCGGATTCTGTTTGTACTTCAGAACCTTCTTCAGACCCCTGATTTCTGCGGATTCTGTTTGTACTTCAGACCCCTGATTACCGCAGAAACCCAAGAACCCAAAACCTGCTAAACCCCGAAACCCCAAGCTGTACGTGCTCACCCTGGTGCCGGTCTCCGGAGTTTCGGAGCCTGGGCTCAGGGCTTTAGGGCTTTTTTGGGTACTTTGCGGTGCTTTGGGGTTGAGGTTGCCGGGCTTTCGGATTTATGGTTTCGGGTCGAGGGGCCTTATCACTTCGGAACTTCGGAAGCGCCGTGCTATCTGAGTAAGCTGAATCCGAACCTCTGACATCCATTCTGGTTGCATATGGAGATCCGAAATACCCCAGAATTACGTCTTCGCAGGCGGGTCGTGGCATGTGGACAATACTGCAAGGATGCATCGGAACCGCCGTTCGCACCGTCTGCAACCGGATTACTTGAGCTCATCTGAGGTCCGGCGACGGTCCATTCTTGGATTTTATGCGGTGGTATGGCCAGTTTTACTCTGCGAGTTCCCGGAATTTCGGCTACGATTGGTAGCCGACAGTGGGGAGAAAAAGGACGAGCTGCAACCCTCGAGACTGAAACTGCTACTGCTAGTACTACTAGTAACACCACCACGACTACCACTCCTACGACTACTACTACTACGACGACGACTACTGCTCCTGCTGACTACTATTGCTACTGCTACTGCTACAGCAACCATCACGACTACTTCCATCATTACAACCACGACGATGCTGCGACGATGACTACGAGGACGACGGCGAGTCGTGGCTTGCTTTTTCTTCTGTCGGCTCTTTTCAGCAAAACTTTTTATATTTAGGTGAGTCGTTATTTCGATCCTTTCATCGTGGTCTGTTACTCTCGCATCTAGGTGAGTCCTTTCATCGGAGCGCTTGCAGTGATGCTGTGGGCTTACCTGCTAATGCTCCTGCCTGAAACGGGTTCGGATTTCTAATCTCACATGCATCATGATAGAGGCCGATTGCTCCTGTCAATACGTGCGAATATGAAACTGCACAACGTAATGTAGCTGCATTGATTTCGTAGAACGAGTCGCATCACGTGTAACGCAGCACTATATGGTTAAAAGCTTTGCATGGCACGTCAAGCTACATCTCCGCACGCTATCATCGTGCAGCAATCGAAGTTCGGCTGTCCTTGTTGTACCCACCAGTTCAAGCAGCACATGCACATTGGACTGCATGGAAATACATGCCTGTATAAATACAACTACAAATTTCAACGTGGATACAACTGCGTGTGACAATACACATGCATGTCTGCATGCCTGCACGGGAATACGTTTATATCAGCATTTTCTATTTATAAAGTAGACAAAGACTATACACACAAGCATGCCTATTGACTTATGTGTAATGGTAGCACATGTAATGGTATCTGACATCCGTGCAGTGCAGGCGGCCAGCGTGGCCTCGGAAGAGACCACGGAACTCAGCGCGACCTTGGCAAGGCCGACACGCGGGACGGGCATACGTATCTTTAGGTGTGTGTATATGTATGTATATGATTGTAGGCATTGTTATCGAGATGACAACTTAATTAAGCGACTACTAGTATGAATAGCTGCAGCTGCAGTCATATGAATGGGTAGTTAGTGCTCTCAAAGAGGATCTGTCGAATAAGGAAACCTAGAAAGGACCCTGCCTTCGACAGCCTACTGTAGAAGCCGAGCATGATTTTGTAGGGTTCCTGACTCTAATTAAGGGTTTAGGGTTTAGGGTTCAATTTTAAACTACAACAGACACCGCTGAAGCCTATTCCATTTTTTGAGGTCCCTGAAGTACACGATGATTGCGCCGCAGGTCCGAGGTGAGCAGCATCACGCCCTCCCTCGGCAGCGCTGCACGCATGGAAGGCAAGGCATCTCTCGCGGAGTTTAGGGTTTTTGGGATGCTTTGGGGTTAGGGAAAAGGTTTTTCGGGTTTGGGGTTTCGGTCTCGGGTTCACGGTTTGGGATTTCTTGGGGTTGTTATACGGGGACCCTTTGACGAACTTGGGTTCGCGGGGTTGGCTTCTGGTTTAGGAATTTGGTTTAAGTTATATACCAGAACCAGCAAAAGGAACTCCGTATCTTTTTCTGTCGATCCCTATCACGGTAACTTAAAATCAAGCTCCTTAACAAGAGCCAGATGGTGGGGTTGAAACCCCAAACCCAAAACCCTAAACCCTACACCCTAAACCCAAAACCCTACACCCTAAACCCAAAACCCCAAAACCCTACACCCTAAACCCAAAACCCTAAACCGCTGGTAACAGGTCTCAGAAAGGTTTCCGGGAGAAGGGGGGGGCCCGGGAGATGAGGAAGTCGAAGCTTCAGGTTTCCTGGCGGAGTTTTGCACTTCAGCTTCTTGACTTCTTGGTGGCATTGCCGACATATGTATAACAATACATATAGTACACATATACGAGATGTGTGTGTATATATATATATGCATATATATATATATATATATACACACATGCAGATAGCAGATATAACTTTTTTGTCTATGGGGTGGTCGCGACATCGCGGAGATCATCACTAGCTCTGACCTTCGCGACTTCGGGTCTACGGCTTGGTGGGGCCTGGGCTCCAGGGCTATTTAGACTTTGGAGATCGCGGCGCAACGTCGCATCCTTCGCCATTCAGCCGATAGCCGGCAGCCGTGCATGCAGTTTGCAAGTCTCGAATAAATTCGGGCTTCAGAATGTAGGTCTACTGAGAGCCAAGCATGGATCCTGCTCGCACCCATCGAAAACCCTGAAGCCTTTCACCCGGCCGAAACTCCTGATGTCATGATTTGCAGGTGTTTAGTGTCTGGGGCTTGCTACTTAGGCAGCGAGGGTTTAGCACTAGGGGTTTGAGTTTGGTGGGATTTAGGTTACGGCCCGCAACATCCCCGCTTCTCAGGTTTGCAGCGAGTTTTCTTTTGCTGTTGCCTCAGTATAAGCCCGAAGCCTGAAACCCCAGTTCGTGTCCGAACGATGAGCTCCTCAAATACCCCAATTCTGAGCCATACCGCCAAAACCAAACACCCCAAGCTCAACCCGTAAGCCGATTTTCTGGAAGCCGAATCCGAGCCAGAGAAACACAGCGGCAACCCCGAAGATAGAAGCCTGAACAGCTAGGAATACTCCTCTCCTTAGGCGTCCTTAGGATAGTTATGGTATAGCGTACGTACCGTACCGAACTCTATTCACATGATTTTAGGCCCCTTTAGCACACCTCTAGAGGCCAAACTCAATAGGCACACTCCCGGAACGACTCTCAAAGCCATACCTGCCCGCAATACTGCTGAATTCGGCGCCCAGCGAATCCGAACCACAAATAATCTTGTTCCACTGGGAGGCCCAAGTACTACAGTACCCCAATCCCTCAACTCATAGCCTGATCCCTGAACCCTAAACCCTCAAACCCTAAACCCCCAAACCGCTGAACCCTAAAACCCTGAATTAAAAGCCCCAGAGCCCTACACCCGTGAACCCTACAGCTTGTGAACCCTAAGCCGACATATCTCTGCCCTGTGAGGCCTTCGTGGTCGCCGTAGCACGGCCAGTGAGCGCCGGATGCTGCAAAGGTCAGTGGCCAGGTCCCTGCAAAGCTGCAGGATTTGGGAGTTTCCGAAAATTAGGGGTACGGCATTTTGGGGTCCTTATGATGAGGATCCTACTACTTAGGGTACTACGGTCCCCTATTTTCGGAAACTTTCATTTCAGGGTTTGCATCAGGTTTAGGGGGCTGTTGATGTATTTTTGAAGGTTTTGGATCGATGTCTTTGTTTGAAGCAGTTTCGAAGGACTTGATCGAATGCTTAACTTGGTAAGGTCGGGACATTCAGGTTCTGGCCCTCACCCAATCCAATTGCGGTGTTCTTGTTGTTTTGTTCTTCTCACGGGTGCCCTAAACCCTAAATCCTAAACGGGACTAAGGACAAGAGTCAGTTTTGGACAGTTTTTCCTGAGGAATTGATTGATTCCAGCCATTGATGCGGATACTTTTCGGGCCGCGACATGAAAAACGCCGCAGTGATTATAGCCATGGTTCCTCTGGAGTACCAAAAAGCCGATGAAGCAGAGCAACATCGCTGAGAATCGCGAGACCCTATTGCAGTACCCTAAACCCTAAACCCTAAACCGATTTGGACCCCTTTATTCACCTTTGAGCCTCCAGTCGAGCTCTGCTAAGGCCGTAGTGAGTCGCCTTTACGACGAGCTCCTGCCGCTGAGCCCAGCAGCGCAAAGCTTGTCTTGCAGAGGTTTGGGTGTAAGGACAGCAGCATCGTGAGCTTGTGTCATACAGTTGTCCTTTAAACGTTGTAGGCTCAGGCTTTCCGGTCCCACGGGTGTTAAGCGTTTCAGTCTGCGCGACGTCCCTGCGGTGCCAAGTCCAAACCCTAAGCCCAAAGCCCTATAGAGTGCGATGAGAATCTAGGGCTTTGGGCTTTAGAGGTTAGGGTTCAGGGTTTAGGGTTTAGGTTCCGGCTTGGGGATTGGGTACCTGAGCCTTCAACTGAACCAGCCCGAACCGAAGTGGGCTGCCAATGCCTTGTTCATTGGCTTAGGTGTTTAGGGTTTAGGGGATTCATGATGAAGGTCTTTATTTGGGTGCGGGCGCATAGGGCGCCGTGTGGTTTTCGTACTTAGAATGTGCGCCTGGAGTGGGGTTTAGCATGATTTCTACAAAAAGCAGGTTTGTAGGACGTTACCGAAACTAATTGCATTTTTACGGTTAGTAATATCATCAGCTAGCAACATCATGTTCACCGTCATTAGAGTTTTCTATCATCATGTTTCAGCATATTAGTAATCACCACAATGATCATGATCATAATCACATCACTACCGTCATCAACATTTTCATCATCTTAAGCATCTTCATCATCATGACGACCCTCATCATTGTCGGTAAGTAACAACATCATGTTCACCGTCATTAGGATTTTGTCACCATGTTTCAGCATATTAGTAATCACCACGACGGCCATGATCATAATCACCATCATTACCGTCATCAACATTTTCATCATCTTAAGCATCTTCATCATCATGACGACCCTCATCATTGTCGGTAACAACATCATGTTCACCGTCATTAGGATTTTATGCGTTTCTGCGAGACTTCTCACAGGTTTCTCACAGACTTCTGAGACGTCTCTCAAAGACGCATCACAGGTTTCTCACAGACTTCTCACAGACTTCCCGTGACTTCCCTTGGGTTTCTCAGAGGCTTGTCGCATAGGTTTCTGAGAGACTTCTCAGAGGTTTCTCACAGACTTCTGAGACGTTTCTCAAAGACCTATCACAAGTTTCTCACAGACTTTTCACAGACGTCTGAGATGCTTCTCAAGGACGCATCGCAGGTTTCTCACAGACTTCTCATAGATTTCTCAAAGGCTTGTCACAGATTTCTCATAGGTTTCTGAGAGACTTCTCACAGGTTTCGCACAGACTTCTGAGACGTTTCTCAAAGACTTATCAGGTTTCCCACAGACTTCTCACAGACTTCTGAGACGTTTCTCAAAGATGCGGCCGGCTTGCAACTGCCCGCTCGAGAGGATATGCGACGGCCGGACGCTATTAAGCCCTCCCCCCCACCACCCCCACCCCCCCGCCACCCCCTTAGTCCTGAACAGCAGTAAAAACCCTTGATTTGTGCAGTAAAAGCATTAAACACGCATGAAACCACCTGGCGCCCTATGCGCCCGCTACCCTTTATTTGGGGTCGATTAGAGTCCAAAACTTCCATGGCAAGCGGGTGTGGGGCCTGGAGTCTGGGGTTTCTGACGTTGAGCGTACAGCGCTTTGCTACCTCGGAAAAGCAGAGGACTCTTTCAAGCAGTGGACTCATGTCCAAGGGTACAAGGAGGGACCCTTAATAAGGACCCCTAGGTATATACCCTTAATATAGCTATCATTGTATAGCCCATTATAGGGTAGGGGTCCCCAGTTTGGGTCCCTCCTTTTCCCCTTTGATCATGAATCTCGCGCGAAGACCCGAACACCCGAACACCCTATCAAAGCTCGGTTTAGGGTAACACCCGCTTGAACCCTAAACCCTAAACCCTAAACCCTAAACCCTAACCCCTAGGGTTTAGGGTTTAGGGGCCTACAAAGACGCTGAGACCGCGGCCCCGAACCCTAAACGCACAAGCCCTAAGCCTAAGCCGCAAACCTACACTCTAAACCCTAAACCTTCCTAAAACCCAAGCCCCAAACCTAAACTCTAAACCCCAAACCTAAGCTCTAAACCCTAAACTTTCCTAAACCCTAAGCCCCAATCCAGCTCCTATCTGCCGAGGCTTCTGAGCCTCCGTCGGCCAAAGTTGGGCGAAGTCGGGCCGCCAGGGTTTGGGTTTCGGGTTTCAGGAATGTGGGATTTAGGGATTTTTTTATCAAGAATTGTGAATTGAGGATTTGGGTAATTAACGCAATGTATGGTTTCGGGAATTTAGAGTATTCAGGAAATTCAGGGCCTAGGGTTTCGGGTTGAGGGCTAAGGCTTTAGGCTTTGGGTTGTGTGTGTTTTCTGTGCTTGAAGGTCTTGTAGTGCTGCAGTCGAATCACTCGGAAAAGTGAGTCCGCCCCGATCTTTCCGTGGTGTTCCCTTCTCAAGCATAGTGACACAATGTATGTGGGGTAGTGCCATCAGTGCCACCTAAGAGACTTGGCCATGGCAGAGAACGTGGCCACAAACTTGGCCTGCCGAACCCTCACCGTGCAGAAATCCGGGCGCGATGATTTTCCAGGTGGCGCAGAGGCATGCGTTTTGCCCAGTGCCAGCATCGAGCGGGTGAAATGTCTGGACGAGCATGAGTTCCGAAAGTTGCTGGGCTTCCGCCGTGAGCCCAGCGAGGAGAGCAACGGCCTTGCCGTGGCCCACGTCTGGGGAATGGTGCCAGAGGATCCACCGAACTCGGGACGGCCACCTAAGCAGACGCTGCTTCGTAGCTCCTCGGCAGAGCGGGATGGTGCACGACTTGGTCGGGTCCATGTTGTGAAGGCAGGAGGTAGATCTGCGAGGGTCTGCCGGGGTATAGAGTGTGTTCTGCAACTAAGGATTGCTCTTCCTCCAGCAGCCAGACAAGGACGACCTGCAGCCACGAAGCAAAAGCGGCGTGTGGGAGAAGGCCTGGCTCGATTTCTTTTTTTTCTCAGATTTTTCTGCTTGAGTTCAGGTATACAGTCTTTTTTCGGGCCTTATCCAGCCGCATTGACATGTCTGCAGGTACGTGGGATGCGGGCTTGGGCTGCATCGCGGCTCCATGGAAAGAAGGGCAGCAAAGTCGAGTCTGTCCCATGAGACGGGCTTGTTTCAAGTGGGTCGTTCGAGGTCGTGCGCACCCGTGAGCTCTTTCCATAGTCCCTTGTGCCATTTGGCGGAGTTTGCGGCAGGACCGCACCTTACACGTAGAATCCAAAAGGTTGGAACTCACTGTGCCCCCCATCACCGAAGTTGGAAGATACGAACAGCCAGCATCAATCGCCTCATCGTCATGTTCCAACTTTTTGGCTTCTACTCGGGCTCTGGGAAACATGTCTTCACTGGTCAGCGACCAAGTCGCTGATTTTCCCAAGGCTTTTGCTTCGCAAGGGTGAACAGCTTTCAAACCCGCTTGGGTTTTAACTGAATATTCTTCACGCACTGTAATGCTTCGCAGGAAGAGGATGAAAGTTTGCCAACTCCGGGGAAGCCTCGTAGCAAACAGAGCAAGCACTATGGAGCATCACCTGTGACGAGCATAGCCATATAGCAAACGCATGCATACCCAGATTATTCATATTCCTGTGCGTCATCGTCACCACCATCATCACCATCAGCACTATCATCATTACCACCACCATCACCATCACCGCCATCACCATCGCCATTAACATCACCATCACCATCATCATCAACATCGTCGGAATCATTAGCATCGTCGCCACCGCCACCGCCACCGCCATCTCCATCGCCATCATCTTCGACACCATCATCGCAATCACCATCGTCGGCGACCGTCAGCATCATCATCATCGTCATCGTCATCGTCATGGTCATGGTCATCATCATGACCATCATCATCACCACCACCACCATCACCATCATCGCCACTGACTTCTTCGACATCATCTTGTCCTTCCTCATCCCACACGTCAAGGTTCCTGTATTACAGGGTAACTGGTTTCAGGTTATAGGGGTTTAGGGCTTGAGGACAAGGTGGAAGCGAGACAGAGATCCAATCTGGGTTTCGAGGAGCTTAAGCTCTGTGTAGAAGGATGATCCTAGTAGTGGTATGTAGGGCTTATTACAGGGCCGAGTATCTTCACAGCCTACCAACGGCCTTCTTCTCTGAGTTTACAAGCACTAGAAGAGTTTTTAGAAGCACCCAAAACTTGTTATGCACGGGTGCGTCTGGTAAGCAACTGCTGACTATTGTTGCAGGCAAGGCAGAGCTTCACCAAGAAGGAAGTAGACGTATCGATGCCAAACATGTCGCAGGAGCTCTGCTGGAGTGTAGGGAAGCTAGGAGAGGAGGCTTTGGGCTGTGTGTGTTTTCCGTGCTTACAGGTCTTGTAGTGCTGCAGCCGACTCGGAACAGTGAGCCCGACCGATTCTCCCGCAACGTTCTCTGCTCAAGCATAGTTTGTGTGTGGGAGTGCCGTCAGTGCCACCTAAGAGATTTGGCCATGGCAGAGAACGTGGCCACAAACTTGGCCTGCCGAACCCTCACCGTGCAGAAATCCGGGCGCGATGATTTTCCAGGTGGCGCAGCGGCATGGGTTTTGCCGACGGTGCCCAGTGCCAGCATCGAGCGGGTGAAATGTTTGGACGAGCATGAGTTCCGAAAGCTCCTGGGCTTCCGCCGTGAGCCCAGCGAGGAGAGCAACGGCCTTGCCGTGGCCCACGTCTGGGGAATGGTGCCAGAGGATCCACCGAACTCGGAACGGCCACCTAAGCAGGCGCTGCTTCGTAGCTCCTCGGCAGAGCTGGATCGTGCACGACTTGGTCGGGTCTATTGTGTGAAGGGAGGAGGTGGATCTGCGAGGGTCTGCCGGGGTGTAGAGTGCGTTCTGCCACCTAGGATTGCTCTTCCTCCAGCAGCCCGACAAGGACGACCTGCAGCCACGAAGCAAAAGCGGCGTGTGGGAGAAGGCCGTGCTAGATTTCTTGTTTTTTTCTCAGATTTTTCTGCTTGAGTTCAGGTATACAGTCTTATTTCGGGCCTTATCAAGCCGCCTTGACATGTCTGCAGGTACTCGGGATGCGGGCTTGGGCTGCATCGCGGCTCCATGGAAAGAAGGGCAGCAAAGTCGAGTCTGTCCCATGAGACGGGCTTGTTTCAAGTGGGTCGTTCGAGGTCGTGCGCACCCGTGAGCTCTTTCCATAGTCCCTTGTGCCATTTGGCGGAGTTTGCGGCAGGACCGCACCTTACACGTAGAATCCAAAAGGTTGGAACTCACTGTGCCCCCCATCACCGAAGTTGGAAGATACGAACAGCCAGCATCAATCGCCTCATCGTCATGTTCCAACCTTTTGGCTTCTACTCGGGCTCTGGGGAACATGTCTTCCCTGGTCAGCTGGCAAGTCGCTGATTTTCCCAAGGCTTTTGCTTCGCAAGGGTGAACAGCTTTCAAACCCACTTGGTTTTCAGCTGAATATTCTTCACGCACGCTACTGCTTCGCAGGAAAAGGATGAAAGTTTGCCAACTCCGGGGAAGCCTCGTAGCAAACAGAGCAAGCACTATGGAGCATCACCTGTGACGAGCATAGCCATATAGCAAACGCATGCATACCCAGATTATTCATATTCCTGTGCGTCATCGTCACCACCATCATCACCATCAGCACTATCATCATTACCACCACCATCACCATCACCGCCATCACCATCGCCATTAACATCACCATCACCATCATCATCAACATCGTCGTGATCATTAGCATCGTCGCCACCGCCACCGCCACCGCCATCTCCATCGCCATCATCTTCGACACCATCATCGCAATCACCATCGTCGGCGACCGTCAGCATCATCATCATCATCATCATCATCATCATCATCATCGTCATCGTCATCGTCATCGTCATCGTCATGGTCATCATCATGACCATCATCATCATCATCACCACCACCACCACCATCACCATCATCGCCACCGACTTCTTCGACATCATCTTGTCCTTCCTCATCCCACACGTCAAGGTTCCTGTATTAGGGTAAGTGGTTTCAGGTTATAGGGGTTTAGGGCTTGAGGACAAGGTGGAAGCGAGACAGAGATCCAATCTGGGTTTCGAGGAGCTTAAGCTCTGTGTAGAAGGATGATCCTAGTAGTGGTATGTAGGGCTTATTACAGGGCCGAGTATCTTCACAGCCTACCAACGGCCTTCTTCTCTGAGTTTACAAGCACTAGAAGAGTTTTTAGAAGCACCCAAAACTTATTATGCACGGGTGCGTCTGGTAAGCAACTGCTGACTATTGTTGCAGGCAAGGCAGAGCTTCTCCAAGAAGGAAGTAGACGTATCGATGCCAAACATGTCGCAGGAGCTCTGCTGGAGTGTAGGGAAGCTAGGAGAGGAGGCTTTGGACTGTGTGTGTTTTCCGTGCTTACAGGTCTTGTAGTGCTGCAGCCGACTCGGAACAGTGAGCCCGACCGATTCTCCCGCAACGTTCTCTGCTCAAGCATAGTTTGTGTGTGGGAGTGCCGTCAGTGCCACCTAAGAGACTTGGCCATGGCAGAGAACGTGGCCACAAACTTGGCCTGCCGAACCCTCACCGTGCAGAAATCCGGGCGCGATGATTTTCCAGGTGGCGCAGCGGCATGCCGGCATGCGTTTTGCCGACGGTGCCCAGTGCCAGCATCGAGCGGGTGAAATGTCTGGACGAGCATGAGTTCCGAAAGCTCCTGGGCTTCCGCCGTGAGCCCAGCGAGGAGAGCAACGGCCTTGCCGTGGCCCACGTCTGGGGAATGGTGCCAGAGGATCCACCGAACTCGGAACGGCCACCTAAGCAGGCGCTGCTTCGTAGCTCCTCGGCAGAGCTGGATCGTGCACGACTTGGTCGGGTCTATTGTGTGAAGGGAGGAGGTGGATCTGCGAGGGTCTGCCGGGGTGTAGAGTGCGTTCTGCCACCCAGGATTGCTCTTCCTCCAGCAGCCCGACAAGGACGACCTGCAGCCACGAAGCAAAAGCGGCGTGTGGGAGAAGGCCTGGCTCGATTTCTTGTTTTTTCTGCTTGAATCCAGGTGTCTGTGTATTGTTCAGGGATGAGACAGCTGCTGCACACAGTCTGTTTTCGGGCCTTATCCAGCCGCATTGACATGTCTGCAGGTACGTGGGATGCGGGCTTGGGCTGCATCGCGGCTACATGGAAAGAAGGGCAGCAAAGTCGAGTCTGTCCCATGAGACGGGCTTGTTTCAAGTGGGTCGTTCGAGGTCGTGCGCACCCGTGAGCTCTTTCCATAGTCCCTTGTGCCATTTGGCGGAGTTTGCGGCAGGACCGCACTTTACACGTAGAATCCAAAAGGTTGGAACTCACTGTGCCCCCCATCACCGAAGTTGGAAGATACGAACAGCCAGCATCAATCGCCTCATCGTCAATTTCCAACTCTTTGGCTTCTACTCGGGCTCTGGGAAACATGTCTTCACTGGTCAGCGACCAAGTCGCTGGTTTTCCCAAGGCTTTTGCTTCGAGGGGTGAACAGCTTGAATATCCACTTGGATTTCAACTGAATGGGTGCACAGCCTTCATATCCACTTGGTTTTCAGCTGAATATTCTTCACGCACGCTACTGCTTCGCAGGAAAAGGAGGAAAGTTTGCCAACTCCAGGGAAGCCTCGTAGCAAACATCGCATGAAGCGTAATCGGGAACACCAAACACCAAGTCGACAGCTCTAAAATCCTAAACCCGATGTGAACCATAAACCCCGAACTACATGAATATATAGCCGCGGAAATAATCACCAATACCATTTTGGGGGTTCCTTATTATAAGTCATAAGTATCATCAGTATAGTATAATGGTGTCCGATCCGCCCCAAGACCCCATTCCAATTATTCAGGCCCCTATATGGGAGTTTCCGAAAATTGGGGACCTAACATAGAACCCTTCTGGGTCCTTAATATAGTACGGCACCTAATATTTAGGGTACCCAAAAAGGAACCGTAGTTTTGACAACTGCCCCTATATTACCGTAAAGCCCTTCCCGCAAGGCTGCGGCGTCGTTGCTGCAAGAGCTCGCCGGGCCGGGGGTCACCGAGCAGGCCTCCTGAGGATGATGGTCTAGGGCCTTTCTTTAAGGGTTTAATAGAACATCTAGGGTTTAGAGTTTAGGGTTTAGGGTTTAGAGTTTAGGGTTTAGAGTTTAGGGTTTAGAGTTTAGGGTTTAGAGTTTAGGGTTTAGAGTTTAGGGTTTAGAGTTTAGGGTTTAGAGTTTAGGGTTTAGAGTTTAGGGTTTAGAGTTTAGGGTTTAGGGTTTAGGGTCTAGTGTTTGGAGATCAGGGTTTAGGGTTTAGCCAGGGCCTTTCTTTCAGTAAGGGTCTCGTGAATTAGGGTCTTTCTTTAGGGTTTAGGGTTTAGGGTTCAGGGTTTAGGGTTTAACACCAGCAGATGGATGAAAGCGGTGTTAGGGTGTTGGGTTTTGGGCTTGGAGTAGCAAGGGTTTGATCATTTTCGTTTTGTGCTACCACCACTATGGTTCACATGCTTCTGATGAGCGGAAATGCCTACAATTTCTCAGTAATGCGATGCTCAGTATCAAACTTACTGTTGTTGCAACAACGTCTCTTTACTCTGTTTTTTTGTTTGGAGCCTACAATATTGCAAACAATCCGGAGCTGTTCTGAATTCGGGTTTTGTGAGGGTCGCCGCAATCTTGTACTACTGTATTCCTTGTTTGAACTTTTTGTCGGGGGGCCCGACAGTACGGAGCAGATCCAGCCAGGTTCGTTGAATTGACAGCAGGCGGGCTGATAGTGTGAATTTCCCCACTTAGGAACGATGATGTGACCTTCGGAGTCGTAACAGAACGATCACGAAGAGACTGGGTTAAGTCTGATAATGCTAATTTTTGAAGACCGTTCCTGTTCACGTCAGCAGCAGCAAAGGCGATCGTGGTCATACCCTGCACCCGAAGGCCTAAGCCCAACCCTTTGTGAGCTGTTAATCGTATCTGAGTCGTTGGTGCCCCTGCTAACATAGGGGCCTCATTCATGATTGCTAATACTATTTTGGGGGTTACAGAGTATAATTATAGTCCAAGGGCGCCAAAACCTTATTCTTAGGCTGAAGAGGAGATCGCCGGTGTGCTCTCTCGCAGCTTGGATTGAGGCAGGTTGCATTTGACTCCTCGCCGCCCCAATTTGGCACCTGCGGTCTCGGGTTTAGGGTTTCGGGCTGCTACCGGAGAGAAGAATTATGGGGTTGGGCTGAGGGGGTTTAGGGTTTGGGATTGGGGGATTTGAGTGTCTGTGGCGTTTCGGGACTTAGGCTTCGGCAGGTTGAGGCCTTGTGTCTTTGAGTTCCGTAAGTTAGACATCTGCAACCTTCAACAAGCATGTCTCCAGGAACTAGCGATTGCCAATACGGGGCGAATCTGTAGGATTCTCATCATATGGATTCTGAAGCCCGAAGCCCTAAAGCGCAAGGTGACTTGTGCTTGCCCTTTACTTTTTCATTTGTCGGGGACCTCCAAAGTTTAAGGACTGACACCTCGACCCTAAGCCTAAGTCCTAAACACCTTGATCCAAGCCTACACCCCAACCCCTGAACCCGACACCGTTGAACCCTATCGCAAGCCGTAGATGATTGTTCCCGAATCTACACTTAAGTCCTAAACTTCCGAACCCGAAAATCCTAACACAACCTAGTGCCTCTGGTCCACGAGCCTGTCAGTGGCTGAGGCTGTGTGGCCGACGTGCGACGGATTCGTCTGGAGCCACCAGGTCCGCGACCTGATTATTACTTGTATTCTTGCTTCAGTTATAACCTGTTTCTATCTATCTATCATCTATCTGGATTTTCTGAGTTCAGGTTTATGGGTTTGGGGGTTTAGAGTTTGGATTTAGGGTTCCGGTGGAGCATTTCGGGTTCAGGGAGCAGAGGTGCAAAGGTTCCTATCCTCGGGAAGGGCAGGGAGTCGTCATGCGTAAGCAGACGGTAGAGGAACTTCTCGAGACGATAACCTAAACTCTAAACTCTAAACCCCTAAACTCTAAACCGATCGATAACCTATGATTTTTCCCATATCAAGCCTACTTCTAAACGAACTCCGATATTAACATGCCTGAATTATGAAAGTAGTATCCCCGTATAGGCCCTGTACAGTTATACCATAAAGAACCCGCGAGACCATATTACAGTTGTGAAGGCCGCTACATAGCCACAAGGTTCCAGCATCCAGCGATACACCACATGTCGTCATGAGTATGCAGGAGTAAGCGTTCGCAGAGCTCGGAAATCCGTAAAAGCCGATGTGCGAAGCTTTGCATGTAGATCTTCGAGCCTCAAATCCCACCCCCCAAAACACCAACCAATACCATTATCCACCCACCACAAGACCACCACCACGACCAGAGTTACTGATTTTGCCCCCGCTTCTGCTACTGCCGCTACTAGTTTTGCGACGTTGTAACGATACTACTGGGTTAAGCCTCGGAGCTCCGTCCCGAGGTGCGAGTGAGGACTCCGGGGGGCGCAAGATCGTTTGAGTTCGTCAGCAGGTTTCGGGGCTTCCTGGGCGTGAAAGCTTGCGGCACTTTACGGCTTTAGGCTGTCAATGTGTAGTCGAAGGAGAACGGGCCGTAGCAGGTAGTAGGTGGTAGGTGGTCGGTGGTAGGTAGTAGGTAGTAGGTAGCAGGTAGCAGGCATAGGTAGTAGGTAGTAGCTAGCAAGTAGTGGGTAGTAGGTAGTAGGTAGTAGATAGTAGATAGTAGGTAGTAAGTAGTAGGTAGTGGTAGTGGTAGTGGTTGTGGTAGTGGTCGTGGTCGTGGTGGTGGTGGTGGTGGTGGTGGTGGTGGTGGTGGTGGTGGTGGTGGTGGTGGTAGTCGTAGTCGTAGTCGTAGTCGTAGTCGTAGTCGTAGTAGTAGTAGTAGTAGTAGTAGTAGTAGTAGTAGTAGTAGTAGTAGTAGTCCTAGTAGTAGTCCTAGTAGTAGTCCTAGTAGTAGTAGTAGTAGCAGTAGTAGTAGTAGTAGTAGTAGTAGTAGTAGTAGTAGTAGTAGTAGTAGTAGTAGTAGTAGTAGTAGTAGTAGTACTGGTAGCTAGTAGTTAATAGTGAATAGTTAGTAGTGGTAGTAGAGCTGGTGGTGGTGGAGTTGTTGTTGTTGTTGTTGTTGTTGTTGTTGTTGTTGTTGTTGTTGTTGTTGTTGTTGTTGTTGTTGTTGTTGTCGTTGCTGCTGCTGCTGCTGCTGCTGCTGCTGCTGCTGCTGCTGCTGCTGCTTGTTTTTGTTGTTCGCGAAAACATGCATCTGGGCTTGCGCGGTTTCGGTGAAGTGTTACTATACTAGAAGGCCTGGTAAGGTAAACCCGATGCGTTTGGATCTAGAGCCGCGAGCCTCCCTCAAATTCTGACCCATATAAGGGCTGAAGTAAATGGAGCAACAAGATCATCGATGCTGCTCAAGATTCCACGCGAGCTCTAAGCGCACGCCTTGTGCAACTGGGAGTTGGTTTCGAGGTTCATACATCACAATCTTCCTGCTATTAGCCTGGACTAATACTACATCGACTGCTACTTTAAACCTGCAGTAGTGAAGCGTGCTACTTCCTTTCTTCACGATTTCTGAGTATCATTTCGCTCTTATGCCAGCGCCGATCCCAAGCAGTGATAGATCGCCACGACGACCATGACAACAAGACAACCACAAGCACCGCGATCACCAGGATCACCAACCAGGAGACCACCAGGCAAGGCAGTCCACCCAGGGACCCTCAGGAGATCACCAGCAAGCAACCGGGAGATCACCAGGACACCGCCTGGAGAGATGGTCACAGTCGTGGTCATTTAATCGCAAAGGTGCATGACCGGCCCACATCCTTAAGGCGTCAACCCGAGAGCCCCTTCCACAGCTTGAGCCCTCGAACCCTAGACCTGAAGCCACGGAGTAGAAGATTCAGCGGCTGCTGGAGGAAATCTTATCACAACCGACGATACATCCTCGATGCCTTAACGCTCTGAAGCCTGAAAAGCCCGTCACGAAAAAAAAAAAAAGCCCTCAACCCAAACCTCACTCCTGGCCCTTCCTGGCCTTCTTAGAAGTCGCAGACTTGCCGCGTCTGGAAAAAGGAGCTCAAAAAAGAAGCCCACATCTCAAACCCTAAACCCCAAACCTTAAAGCCTAAACCCCAAACCTTAAGCCCTAAACCCCAAACCTTAAGCCCTAAACCCCAAACCTTAAGCCCTAAACCCCAAACCTCAAACCCTACACCCGAAGCCTATACACCGCAGGACCCGGAGCTTCCGAAAGACGAGGCTCCCAGCCTGGGGTGCCGTGGGTCCCTTTGAGGGAACCTTAGAGTAGGGACGCCCAAAAGCACATAATCACAAGCATTTTATGGGGATATCCGTACCTTATTGGGCTTCAAATTAAGGGTATTTAGATGGGATATACCTATCCTCATTTTTGGTTATGTGCTTTGTTTGGGGCCCTATAGAGGGTTCTTTTAAGGGGCTCCTTTTAAGGGATCTATGTTTTAAGAGGTTCCTTTAAGGGATCTATAGGGTCCCTTTCAGCATGGTAGAAATTCTCGGAGAAGGGTTTCTAGAGGTTTCGGATGTAGGGCTTTAGGATCCGGGCTTAAGTCGGGTTTACGGAGTTTATAGGGTTTCTACGGGTTTGGGATTTCGGGGTTTAGAGTTTCGGATCTAGGGTTCGTAGGGTTTCTGGATTTAGGGCTTTAGGATCCAGGCTTGACGGCATAAGGTGGTTGGGATTCGGTATCTTGGGTTTAGGGTTTAGGGTTTAGGGTTTAGGGTTTAGGGGGGGTTTGATGGTTTAGGTTTGTAGGGCTTTGGGGATTTAAAGCGCTCCTTGGGCCTGGGCCCCTCGTATTTGCCGTAGAATCCCCTCATCAAGCTAGGGCCACGTGGGGAAATCTCAAACCCAAAACAAAGTGGTAACCGAAAAGCCCCAAGCCCAACCCCTGCAACTTTAAGGACTCAGACCCTCAAAGCCTTATTCAGCACCTAAACTCAAAGCCGTCAAGGTTTCAGGATGTAAACCCTAAACCCTAAACCCTAAACCCTAAGCCCTAAACCTTAAACCTTCCAAAGCAGACACTTTGAACTGGAAAGGCGCTACAGAAGGAGAGTGGCTCCTGGTGTGCACAAAGCTGAGGTTCGAGGCCGCATAGTGTTCTTTGTTGGTTTCAGGTTTAGGATTTGGGTCCGAGGGTTTAGGGTTTAAGGTGTTCCACACGATCCAAACTTGCAGTGTTTTGGCTGTTGGGCTTGCAGTAGTGTGTTCGGTTTGGGGTTTACAGCCCAAACTCCTGGACCCCGCACACCAAAAACACCAAACCGCAGTTCAGACAGGTTGAGGATGTATGTATGTTTGCGCGCATGCATGCAGGCAGGCAGGCATGGACGGCTGGATGGCTGGCTGGCTGGCTGGATGGATGGATGGATGAATGTGCCCATGTTTTTTTAGTGCGTACACACGTACGTGCGTACGTACGCATATATGCATGTAGGTATGTACGTAAATGTACGTATGTATGTATGTATGTATGAATGTATGTATATATGTACGTATTTGTGTATGTATGTGCGTTATGTTATGCTGTGTTGTTTCATGTTTTTTTATGTTATGTTGTGTTGTGCTGTGTTATGTTACGCTACGTTATGTGATGATGTTGTGTCGTGGTATATGTGTTGTGTATGTATATCATGCATGTATGTGCACTTTCATATGTGCATATGTTCGTATATAGACTAGACATAGATGTAGACAGAGATACAGATATGGAAATTATGTTGTCGTTTGTTATCAAGTGCCCAAGGTCCGGGAAGCATCTGGGTCGAGTACGTGGTTTTAGCGTTGAAAACCGCTTTGCCATCGGCTTCGAAGGGCTACAGGGCCGTTTAGGGTTTAGGGTTTAGGGGTTTAGGGTTTAGGGTTTAGGGTTTAGGGTTTAGGGTTTAGGGTTTAGGGTTTAGGGTTTAGGGTTTAGGGGGCTGCCGTCTGCGGAAGGTTTTCGATCGCAGCGCAGTGGATCGTCATCGCCGGTGTTTAAAGGGATCCAACAACTCTAGTAAATCATATTTTCGAGGGCATGGGGCTGTGTTATTCCAGCCCTCGGCGCTCAATCGTGGACTGAACATCCCGAATCGCCGGCACCTAGCATTTAGTAGGTTTCTGAAGGATCAACCTCACGTCTTCAAGACTCGTTATGGTATCATATCATACGAATGTGCTCACCAACCAGCATGTAGGTTTGTTAACACTGCCGAAAAAGCAGCTACAGGACCCAGCTGCAGATTGCTGGCATGCCAGGCCCCCCACCCTAAGCCCAAAACCCTAAAGCCCTAGACCCTAAACCCTGAACCCTGAAAGCGCCAAAACCCAAACCCCCAAAGTCTAATTTCAAACCTCCTACAGTCCTACACTTCCAGAGTTGAAAACCCTGATAAAATGCGGCTTCCGGGTTCTGTTTATAAGAGAAACATGCTCAAAACATCTTATATATCCCCTAACCCAGAAACTGAACCCTAACTAAGCCCTGAACTTCGAATTCCTTGGACGCGCAATCCTACATCCTGAAGCCCATTACACGCGCTGCGAGTCTGAATTCTTGCTTGACGCTCTCTTGGCTCCGTGAAAGTTGATAGTTCTTGGAAACCGGACAGGGGACAGACTGCTAGAGGGCCGTCCACGCGGTAGTTCAAAGACGTAAGGACCTCGCAGCAGAGCTTTTCCTAACGCCGAAACGACGGGAAAAGTTGAAAACCTCCGAAAGCCCAAAAGACGAGACACTTCCCTGCCCCACTCCGTCGAGGACCCAGAGCAGAGCCAGCTACCCCCTAAAATCTCACCCCTTCTAGTGACGTAAGGAAGAGGGGCCGATCCCCGGCCTAAGACAGCTGAAGTCGCAGCCATGGAGCTGCCCAATACTCCCAATGTGCTGGAGCCTTCCGAGCCGCCAGAGGGGTCGGGAGCCCAGTGGGTTTAAGGTTTAGGGTTTAGGGGTTTTGGGTTTTGAGGTTTAGGGTTTAGGGGTTTAGGGTTTAGGGGTTTAGGGGTTTAGGGTTTGGGGTTTAGGGGTTTTGGGCTGGTGGTTTTAAATGGGCCTCGGGAAGGCCATGAGAGGAGATCAACTTAAGCTTTCTTCGTGGGTTCAGGGTTGAAGGTTCAGGGTTCAGCGCTTTTGGGTAGAGGCCGATACATCAGAAGGGGCCCCCACCCTGTAATAGTGGTATAATAGGAATATAATAGGGCCCTAATATAAGCCTTATAGTCACTGTTGCAGGGTGGGGGCCCCTTCTAACCGATACATGAGCGAGGTTTGCAAAGCAGAAGGAGCGAGCGCGGAGCCCTCCTCAAGTCCGGCAGTCGCTCCCTAGGAGTTCATCCCTTGAACGACCCATTGAGGAAGCTGTAAACCCTAAGCGCGACACACTGAGACACACTAAGACCTCGGTTTAGTGGAGACTTTCAAGACTGTGAGAGTGGAGCCTGCAACACCACAAGCCATGCATGCCAACCAAATCCGATACAGCCCGAAAGTCGAACCCAAATGGCGAAGCCCCAAACATACGAGCAAACATCGCGCAGATCTATCCTGCTGTTTTAGACTTCAAGAACCTGCAAAGACTTTCTAAGAATCCGGATCTTCTGGGCTGATGGGGACATGAGATTTAGGGTTTCGAGTTCGGATTTCTCGGGCTACGGTTCAGGGTTTGGGAGTTTGAATTTCAGGGTTCGAGGATGTAAGTAGGGGTACGGAAGTCAGTGCATGGAGTTGAAGGGAAGTGATTAAACCCCAAGCCGTAAGCCCTCGATTTCCAGAGCCCTAAGCCTTACATTGATTAAAATGAAGCACAGTTCTGAGCTTTGAGTTATCGGAGGCCAACTAACCTTCCTGAACTCGCTTTGCATGTTCGACATGAGAGCTGGCAGGTGTTCGATTCTGGGTTTAACGGTTTAGGTTTTAGGGTTTGAGGCTTTAGGGTTTTAGGGTTTAGGGGTTCAGGGGTTTACGGGTTTAGGGTTTAGGCGGCCCAGCAATAGTAGGACAGGTGCACTCGGGGATTTAATCACTATGTTCCACTGTCCTCAACGTGAACAGGGCACTTCCAGCCTCAAGGGTTTAGGGTTTAGGGTCTGCAAATACAACAGGTTCATCCGCTCGTCCTCTGACGTTTCCGGCTTGGCCCTGAGATGCGGGTTACAGGCGTCCTTCCTCCTGGTATTTCTCAAGCACCCAATGTTTCAGGGTTCGGGGGTTGGCCTTGATAGTCGGAGACCCTCTACCGCCAAATAGCCAATTCCTGGGAGCATAGTTCGAACAATCGCAGTCGCAGTCACGAGGCTCTTTAAGCCAATAGCAGCAAGAAGGACCATAGTTTCCTGATTTGTAACATTGTCGCCTTTATGCCCATTGCCTTGAAACTGATCCCTATATCTTGCTAGCTGCGGCCTGGGCAAGGCTACGAACCTCGATTCAGCACGTGAAACCCATCGAAGCACCCCATGTAACCAAACTCACACTTAAAACACAACACCTTTACGTAGTTCCTGAGGCTCTTGTATCTTTCTACCACGGTCCGGCTTGGACTCAAATGCCAAAATTGTAAACCCTGAGGGCAAAGGCCTAAAAGTGTAAACCCCAATCCCTCAAACACATGTGGGAACGGGGTGCCCTGAAAGGTGGTTCAGCTTTGTCTTAAATCTGAATCTAACCGAGGAGAAGAGGTCAGTGGCATGTGCGAAGCCAAGTGGTCTAGGGTTGAGTGTCTACGGCTTGGGGGTTACGTTAAAGTGGGGTTGAGGGGTTTCAGGTTGGGGGTCAAGGGGTTAAGGGCTTTAGGGTTTACGGGTTTGGGGTCGAGAGGTTAGGGCTTTTTGGGGTTTAGGGTTTGGGGAGAATTCAATGATTAGGTATAGTCAGCGTTTAGACTTTGTGGTTTAGGGTTTGAGTTGAGCAGCACGTTTCGAATGTCTCCAGAGAGTTTGATATTATCAGTATTGTTGTTATCATTCGGGTTAGTATTGTCATTATTATCATGATCGCTACCACGATGATTGCCATTACTGTTGTTATTATCATTATATATACTACTAGTATTATGGTTGTTATTCTTCCGCTTGTCTTACATTCTTACACTTGCTAAAACCAATATTACTACTGAGATTCTTCTTACTTACTTTTTGTTTGTTTGTTTGTTTTTGTTGTTGTTGTTGTTGTTGTTGTTGTTGTTGTTGTTGTTGTTGTTGTTGTTGTTGTTGTTGTTGTTGTTGTTGTTGTTGTTGTTGCTGTTGTTGAACTCCTTGCTAATCCCGGAGCTGCAGTCGCTGTCGTCTTGCAAAGCCCGAGGCTCGCTTGAAGTCGCCCCTTCAGTACCTTATTGTAACATTCATAGAACTCTTAACAGTGTCTGACCTTTACGGTGCCTTGAGGCAAGCCGGCACATTATAGGATTATGTGGATATCGCATTCAGGTTATACTCGGTATTTCGAAGAGTAGCTGGGACATCAAGTGGTACGGTTTTGGGTTCAGGCTCAAGGGTTTAGGCTTTTAGGGTTGAAGTGTTAGAGCCTGGCGTTGGCTGACAATGTCTGCAGCCCCGAAACTTTAAGTCATGCTGAAACCATAAACAGACATCTTGAGGCCGAGTGTTGTGGAACGACTTTGGTTACAATCAGAATGACAATCGTCGGACACGGGAGCCTGGTATCTACTCTCACTCCCATGCCGTTTCCAAACCGCTCTAGTAAGACTTGCCCTTCGTCGAAGCGAGCCCGATGTCACTGGCCCCAAGTCTCCTCGGAATCGAACAGAGGGGCCTTCATCATTAGATGAGGCTTCGGGGTAAAATATAGTACATCTGAAACAGGCAAGGAACCCTAAGGAATGGATATGTAAGTACTGAGTCTTCTCTATTAGGGCTTTATTAAGGATCCAAGGAGTATTGCTTACTTACGGGGCATGGTGTTCCTTCGAGTTCGAGCCCTCTTTCCGAAAACCCGACTCGCTGAACGATTCCCTGAAACCCCCAAGCCCCACGCCCAACGCTTCTGAGTCGTTCCATGCCGTATCGACATCGCCCAAGCCATAGAAGCCGGAGAGCTCGGTGAGAGCTTTAAGGTTTTGGAGGCATCTTCGGGTTCTAGGGTTTTCGGGTTCAGGTTTTTAGGGTTTTTAGGGTGTTTAGGGTTTTTAGGGTTTTTAGGGCTTTAGGGTTTCAGGGTTTAGGGTTTAGGGTTTTAGGGTTTAGGGCTTCGGGTTTAGGGTTTGGACGTTAATGGGTTGAACTATCGGAGTTTCGGAACAGGGCCTCTGCTTCGACGAGGCTTTCAGGCGTTTCGTTGTTGTCAGCCCGAGATCTCTGGGGATTTTGCTCATAGCCGAGGGTAGGAGGGACCCTTAATGAGGACCCCTAGGTATATACCCTTAATATAGCTATTATATAGCCCACTATAGGGTAGGGGTCCCCAGTAAGAGTCCCTCCTTATCCCCTTTGATCATAGCCTTGCTGGTAGAATTCCCAAGAGGAAGAAGCATTTAACGTGCTCATGCGATAGTCTACTGGAGCCCCAAACCCGAAACCCAAGCCCCTATGGTACCTCCCCCGGCCCCGAAAGCCCACTGTTCCTGACTTGGGGATTGTCAGCGGGATTTTCCTCAAAACGAGTCTTCGGAGGGAGTTGCCGGAGTTCTCACGGTCAACCCATGTGCACTAATGTACGAAAAGGGCTGAGTTGTTTGCAAGGTCTTTCGCCTGCTATCTGCACTTTATGCTTGTCCGCTGAAAGTCCTCTGTCAAAAAGGGTTCAATGACTTAGGTTGGCACATGAGATCCCCAAATCAGACATCATGGTCCTGTGTATTTGGCATCATGACGAAATGTTGGAGGAAGCCACGGGTTCAGCATTAACGGTTTTGTCAACTTTAGCACGTTGTCAATTGGTATGGGCCCCCCAGGCCGTAAACAGCCCCAACCCCGAAACAGTTTAGGGTCAGTTTTTAGGGTTCAGGTGACAAGGCGTTTCCTGCTCTTCTTTGGGGCTCAGGAGTACAGACATGATCCCCAAAACCTACGTCCCAAACCCAAAAACCCTCAACCTCAAAGCCCAAACCAAAAATACCCTAAGCACTCCAAACGTCCTGAGCATCCCAGAATCCCACAAGCCCAAATTCCCAAACGATCCTGAGCCCTAAACCCCTTACCGGACCCTTCATGGTATGTTCGCGGAGCGACGCGGCTCCTGAGCCCTGTACCTAAATCTAAACCCTCAACACCTCCACCGTGCCAACACTTCAAAATCCGTGAACTTCTTAAGCCCTAGACTCTAAACCCGAAAACTCGAAACCCCCAAAACCTTGCAACCCTAAACCCCTCAACTTTTAAACCCCAAGGCCTTAAAGCCCTAAGGTAAAAGCCAGAAAGTTGGAATATGACTATACTAAACCCTTCATGGTAAATTGTAGGGTATCCTACCCTGAAACCAAATTCCAACTTTCTGGAGTTCCCTTTAAAGCCCTAAATCCGTAGCCCGAGGTCGGCCCAGTCATCACTCGGCTCAGGATTCGGAGTCCGAAATGGACAGGACCTTCCTTCCGTAACTGCTAGGGCAAAAGCCAGAAAGTTGGAATATGATTATCCTAAGCCCTTTATGGTAAATTATAAGGTATCCTACCCTGAAACCATATTCCAACTTTCTGGAGTTCCCTTTAGGGCTGCAGTTCTGTCGGTTTGGGAATGTTCAGCTAGGGGTGCAGTTCTGTGGGTTTGCGAATGTTCAGGAATTAGGGCTTCATGTAATAGGATGGCTTTACTCCTTTGATTTAACGATGTTATGGCCTTGGGTCGAAGGTTTTTTCCATGTGTTGTAGGTGCGTCGTTCCTTCAGAACCTCTTGTAGCATGTTTCATGCGCGTTTTGTAGTTACGGCATGCATTGATCATGTGTTATATGACCTCATGCCTTCTAAGCATTTGGACCCCTGCGTAGAAACAGCTGCAGCGAAGCCCAGTCAACCTAACCCTTTGGCCTTAAACCGTGCCAAGCTTTGGCCCTGCACTCCAACAGATCCGAAACAAGCAATACGGCTCCAGCACAGCATTGAACGGCCAGAGGTCTAATTCACATAGTTAGATTAGAATATTTCCCAAGGCCCTGTTCTAAGTGTTAAGGGCCATAAATTACGACCCCTTAGTTCTAGGGGCCCTTTAAGTTTAAAGAACCCTTTCAAGGAACTCTATACTAGTGACACCGGCTCCTATCTTAGAGCTTTGAGGCTCTATACTATCGAACTCTCTTATAGAACCCTTTCAATGAACCCTTTTCTAACTATCGTACGGCGCTGGTCTGTCACTTAGGCCTCAGGATGATTAGGGTCTGGGGTTTGAGGGTCGTCTTTCTTGTGGGCGGGGGTTTAAGGGCCTTTATCGGCCTTATTACATAAGTCCTTATTATGGGTGTTAAGGTTCCCTACCCCCCCCCCCCCCGGGGTCCTTGTGAAGCCAGGGAGTTGGGCGTCTTGCTAATTTCGAGAGAAGAACCACAAAAAAAACCACGAAAGCGTAGATCGGGGGGGGGGGGGGGGGGGCGGGCATCGATACATGCACATATATACACACATACATATAGAAATTTGTACATATATACATAGGTACGTATATTATGTACATATATACATGTGTACACATACACATATATACATGTATACATATATACACATATACATATATACATATACACATATATACATAGATACATATATACATATATACATATATATATACATATATACATATATACATATATACATATATACATATCTACATATATACATATCTACATATATACATATATACATATATACATATATACATATATACATATATACATATATACATATATACATATATACATATATACATATATACATATATACTATAAACATATATACATATACACACATATATATATATATATGTGAGGATGACCCAAGTTTCTTTTACTTCGTCTCGTATCCTCAAAAGCACATAACGATTGCTACGCACATGGCTGCTTTGAGTAACTGTCATAGCCCGTGTCGCAAGATAAAAGAAGAGGTTTCTTCCGTAACGTGCCATCTTACTTTGCTTTACAAGGTTCAGGAGCCCCTGCCTTCTGATTGGTACGTATCATGACAGCCAGCGGTATTAAGTCCTACTTCATGTTCGGAAAGTTGAAAGAGTTATCTTACGTTTTGCCGCCTAGGAGCCTTCTTGTGCGCCCTCATATGCAGCTGAAACTTTCAATTCAAGGGGGTTTCCCATTTCGTATGAGGCAAAGAAGAACTGTGTTGGAGTAGGGATTCAAATTTGAAAGTGCTCGTGCATTCGGCTTCCGTCACATATACTGGAAGTCAGATCAAAAGAACTCCCTCTCCCTCTCTCTGTCTGTCTCTCTCTCTCTCTCTCTCTCTTCCTCCCTCTCTCAGAGCCCTTGGGCTTTATCAGAATCGGATGTTTCACGAGCAGCAAGCAAGACATGGCCCACGCACGCATACTTTTTCGTGAGAGAGAATATAGCGTTTTTGTTACTAGACGAATGTTGTTCAATAACACACAATAAAGCACTACACAAGGCAAGAAACACGAGGTTTTTGTAGTACTACATGAACACACATAGCATGCCCTCCAGTATTTCAGCATTTCCAACACAGAAACTATCACAAATCTGCGGCCGAGATTCGACGTCAGATTTATACCCATATCAAACCCGCGACATGTAGCAGCACGGTTTGCATGCACATGGCGAAAGGCACGATTGTATCATTATTTACGGTGTTTCGGCATATATAAGTAGTGGACCTATATAGAGAAGCAACCTGTGCAATTGTGTGGAAGATGCTGGTGTAGATCTTGTGAGGGGGGTGGCCATGTGTATATATATATATATATATATGTATATATGTATGTATATATATATATACACATACGTATATGTATACGTAACGGCATGCATACACATAAGTGATATATACATATACATATATATATATATATATACAAATGTTTATATACGTTACATGCGTGTAAAACACAAACGCACACCCAATGTTTGCATTCATATGTTTTACTGATATTGATAATTTGTCTGCATATGTATGTATGTGTGGACGCATGTGTGCATGTATGTATGTATGTATGTATGTATGTATGTATGTATGTATGTATGTGCAAAATCATGTAAATAATGTAGTTGCATCTACACAAACAAAGACATGTAAAACATATGCATGTACATATATGTATATATATATATATATATATGTACACACATACTCTCACTTTTCTCGCTTCTGAGACGTAGAATTCAAGTAGAATGTGGCCCGCTGGCTTGCACCTACTTAAACCCCGCCTGAAACAGGCGGTGGGCCCCCCATGCGCCTGGCTTCAGCTAGCGAGAAAAGCGCCAACGCCCCGGAGCAAAAATCTACTCGAAAGTAGTGTGCACTCGGGGCTCAAAAGCCGCAGCAGGCATGATGCATACCATGAAGCGGCAGGTATTCCTCTCAATCGGGTCTCTTGGAGGCCATCCATTACCGCAGGACCCTCATGCAGGCCACAGTAAAGGTGTAGTGATTGCTTGTGCACTCATTGGGCCAAGCGAATGAAGCAGTTATCCCGACAAGAGCACGAAGGCACTGAAGATATGCACAGGACATGCTTTAAAAGCGTCAAGCCAACATGCTGACAGATGGGATGCGCATAGTCAGCGTCTCTCATCGTGCATGGGCGGCAGCGATTTTGGATCTGCAGCCTTGGGAACTCAACTTCAAAACATCACACGCTACACTGCAGTGACAATACAAACTACTCAGGGAGATCTCCTTGAACATGTGGGCTTTCGGCTTGCCGGCCTCGTTCTTTTGGGAATTGGAAAAGACCTTTATGTCCTTCTCCTTCTGCTCATCGGCGTTTCGGGCCTCGTGGTAAGACGTGATGGCCTCAGTTACGGTGATGGGTAGTTGGCTGCCTTCCAGGCTCCGGTTGAACGCATACCCAAACGTCAAACTACAAGAGGCTGCTGGATAGTTGGGTCGCCTCCAGGCTCTGGCTGAGCTCAAAGCCACACATTAAATGTTGCAAGCTGTTGCGCGTTGGCTGTTCTCCAGGCTGAGGTTGAAGGTACAGCCAAACGTCATACTCCACTGGCTACCGGGTATAGTTGGGTTCTGGTTGAACTCAAAGCCAAGCGTCAAACTCCGCAGGCTGTTGGGTAGTCGGCTGGCCTCTAGGCTCCGGTTGAACGCATTGGATGCGCCGTTTGCGCGGCAGCTGCAGGGTTCCAACATGGCGAAGCCAGCAGACGGCAACATCGTTGCGTCGCACACGGCGAAGGGCACCTACAGGGTTCTGGGGCTCTGCGATCTTGCCCCGCTGGCGGAGGCAATTCGGGCCCTGTATATACACATATATCATATATACATACAGACATATATGCATATACCCTGATGAACACCAAAACCCTAAACACTAAACCCATGGCGCCTGGCGTGGAGGAGCCCCAGCCTCGCCAACTTGGATTCACTCCTTCCCGGTCTCAAGGAGACTTGTGTTGGGTTTAGAGCTTTAGTGTTTTAGGTTTCTTGTGTTTTCGAGATTTAGGGTTTTAGGTTTTCGTGTTTTAGAGATTTAGGGTTTTAGGTTTTCGTGTTTTAGAGATGTATGGTTTTAGGCTTTTAGTGTTTTGGAGATACGCAAGTCCCTGGCTTTTGGGCTTCGGGCTTAAGGCTGAGAGGGTGGAGAAACGGTCTAAAGCCCGTGGTGGCTATGTATCAGGTCATAAAATCCAGCAGCAACTCAGCAAGATCCGATCCTAATTAGCCGTGTAAAGGAACGGCAACGAAATCGCCAAAAAAGTGCGAAGGCCTTTCGGTTTAGCGTGTCAGGCTGTGACCTGGTGGGTTCAAGTAGTTTCAATTTTCCTTTCCTGGTTATTCCGAACGCTAGACCCCGAGGTCTTTCGAAGTTGTTGAAGCTTCTCGAATCCGTGGCCTCCGGCTGTAGGGCCTCGGGATCGAAAATGAAGTTTTGGGATCATTCAGGGCAAGGTGCCTAGACAAGGCATGTGGATGGTGTGTGTCAGATAGGATTGGTGCATATGGCACTGACACAGTGTTGGGCAGTTTTGCTGGGCATGCTGCACTGTAACACACCTTGAACCTATTAACACCCACGAATCCAAGACCCAAAATTGTCGAGCCGTCAGAGGAAAAAGGTTCTCAATATACCTGAACTTCAATCCTCAAAACGGTTGGTTCGGCTTTTTTCGTTTTCTCAAGACTTGTCTTGTGGAGCCATGCTGGATTGGAGGCCAGGCCTGAATCGTCAGAGAATTTTCCAAAGCTCCTTGAGCCGTCAACTATGAACTACAAAATCCGAAACCCTTCCCGAACCCTGTTGCAGACCTTAAACCCGAAACCCGAAGCCCTTTGTCAGGAGATGCCATCGGCGATGAAACAGATTAAGAAGGCGCTTGCCAAGCTGCAGTCGCAAAGCAACTGGGATGCAGGTTTACCATTCAGAAGCACAGAAGTCAGGGGATTGGGGCGCTTAGGGCTGAAGGGTTTAGGGTTGCGGGTCCTGCAGCATTTGCTGAAACTCCCAGGGTAAATCTTGTCATTGTGGTTTTGGGACATGGGGCTTCAGGTCTTCAGGGCTTGAGGGAACACAGTTAAGATTTAAGGTTTAGGATTTCAGGTCAGAAGTACCGCCGCAGGAAGCTCCCACGCGTAGCAACCTCGGCCCCGCAGCTTCAAACCTTGAGATCAGCTCGGTGCGGCCTCGGCCTAATATGGAAGCCTGAACAACTGGCAATCCATACTACATTTCTAACAGTATAATGTCGCGCCTAAACCCTATTCTCAATATCGGGGCCCATGCATATCACAGGAGCCTCGCCAGGTCACCTGGCATAAGATAGACCCAACACCCTAAAGCCCAAAGCCCTAACTCAATCACCAACCCTTAAACGTACGAGAGTAGGCATCCTCCAAGAGTTGGAAATCACTTCTTTTCTCTACAGCACGCCAGGACCCAAAGTGTAAGCAACTTTGTGTTAGGCTTTAGTAGGGTTTAGGGTTCTGGATAAACTGCGAAAGACACATACACAGAAGTATGTTCTGGAAGGTTCAAGTGCCTTAATTGGAGTCTGACCTATAGATACTTTATGTAGAACTTAAGGTACCCTGGCCCTGAACCCTGAACCCTGATACCTTGCTTGGGGTGCCCCTCAACCTTGAACCCTCAACCTTTTTGCACCCCTCCAAGCAAGCTTGTAACCTCTTGGGCAGCAATCGCAGAACCCTGAACCCGGAACCCAATTCCTAAGTATTGTACACTAAACCCTGAACCCCGTCCTCAGCCCAGAATCCCAAGCATTAAACCCTATATTAACTGTAGCGGACACCAAAATCCTCTTCGAACCATGAAGGCTATAGTAGACGTGCAGTGCGTCTGAGGCGACCAGCTATTGCAGGCCCAACTTGACAGCCGGACCGCACTGTCGAGGCTCGGGTTTGGGCTCTTTGGGGGATCTTAGGGTTTAGGTTTGGGGTTTTAGGGTTTAGGGTTTTAGGGTTTAGGGTTTGGGCGGGCGATCTTTCAGAAGGAGTTTTGAATGGTATTGTTCAAGGTGTGCTTCAGGGTACAAGGTTTGCATAGGGTTTTGTGTTTTGTGGGTTTTGCAAGGCTTGAGGGGATCTCCCACGAGGGAGGGAGTACACATGCGCTACGTGAAACAGCGAGTTTATGAGGGGTTCCTAAAAAATCAAGGATCCCTTTTTGGGCGCTGGGCTGCTGTCACCGGCTGGGGCGATTTAGGACCTGGGCTACGTCGGGTTTAAGGACTTAGGGGTTCAGGTTGTTTGATATGGAAGTTGCATGCTTCGAAGCCCGACTGATTTGAGTTTCGTCTGCACCAAGTGTCCTGTTCCTATCATATATAACCCTGTCTGACACCCCGTTACAGCGAGAACATTATGTAATACAGGAGCCGCAATGATTGCATAAGATCATTCCTCAGAGAGTTATACTACTGGTACCCCTCTTCTGATTCTGCAGGCCCTCGAATGAAAACATGAAGTGGCACATGCCTTTTTCATACCTGAGAGCTCCACGATCGCTCATAAAGATCCTAAGGTTCGGCCTAGAAGGCATCCTTTAAGGAGAGATTTCAAAAACACGTTCATATTGACCTTAGACCGTGCACCTCCAAACGCGATGGATATTCAAAACTTCCTAAACTCCCGACCTGAAGCACCAAACCGGAATCCCTAAATCCTATGCCCGAAATCCTGCATTCAAGCCTGAGGCTCCCAAAATTCAAAGCCCCAAACTCCTCTTAAAGGGTTCTTGATTGCCGAGAGCTTTGATTTTCAGCGATCCCAACTTTGCTCAGGCTCGAGAGCAATCTGAATGCCGGTGTTGGCCAGGCCAGGTCCTATCAGCTTTTCTTTGTTTTGTCGTGTTTTTTTCAGGGGTCGGGGGGGGGGGGGTGTGCAGGCTTTGGTGCTGTTGGCAACCTCGGAGAATTTCAGAGCCGCGGAGATTTGGGGTTTCGGGCTTCGGTCTTGGGATTGGGCTCTTTAGGGTGTAGGGAGGCGTTTTGTGTTGCGGGCTAGGGGTTCTAGGGTTGAGACTTGGAGGGATTTGGGTGGTTTCAAGTCTCTTTTTATCCTGGGGCTGGAGGGCTCTGGGGCTGTCGGTTTCGGCACGTCAAAAGCTAAGGCTTCGAGGTGGGATTTCCGAAAATTAGGGGTACCTTATTTTGGGGTCCTTCTCATAAGGATCCTACTATTTCGGGTCCTATGTTGGGTTCCCCTATTGGAAACCCCCAGGTCTAGACTCGGGTCCCCAAACTGCCGGAGTGATGCTTGAACAATCAGCAACAGTATCCTTAGACTGTGACCACTTAAAGATGTTCTATACTTGTTTCAAGGCCCTCCCAACATAGAGCCCTTATTGAAGCTTATAGCAACCCCATTGAAGAACCTGCCTTTTGAGGCCCGTATGTTAGAGTCATCAGAGTACTTCTTCTCGTTCTGGGATTGGCAAGGAGCTTGCGGAGTGTTTTGCCTTTGGGCACACTTGTTTACTGTGGAAATGCAAGAAGTAAACCCTAAGCCCTAGCTGCGGGTGTGGGCAAGGTTAGGGAGAGAGAGTGTGTGTTTGTAGATTTGGAGAAGTGCCTGCTGGCGTTTGCTGTGGTGGCAGGATCCCAAAGGGAAAATCTGATTTGATTCAGTTTCGCAGAAGAGACGGTTTCTGCAGGGGGAACCGTTATTAAAGTTGCATGCCCTAGACAGCGCATGGGCTGCCTAGAGGGGTGGGGTGATGTTACACCCTGAGGTGGCTGCCGGCCCTGCCGTAGCAGCGGCGCCAAGGCCGTGGAAGATCAGACTGGCTAGTAGGAATCATTTCTTAAGGGGATACAGGGAACTGCAGAAAGTTGGAATATGGATTAATGGTAGGATCCCCTATAATTTGCCTTAAAGGGGTTACGATAATGATATTCCAACTTTCTGGCTTCTACTGTAGGGTTTAGAGTTTAGGGCTTCAGCGCTGTGGGTCTTCAGGGCTAGGGTCTTAGGATTTAGGCTAGTTGTGTCAACCGATAGCTGCTGCTCATAATGAAGCAACAAAAAAAGGCTTGCCCTAAACAACTTTCCGCAACCCTAAGCGCTGAACTCAGACCCTGAATCCTAGACTTGCCTAAACCCTCAACCTATGATGATTGATGGGTTAGGCTAGAAGCTCCGCCACTAGGGCTTCGCATGTAAACTCCGCAACTCAACACCCTCATGCCCAAACGTAATCTTTTTGAAACCCTTGTTTTGAGGATCCTGTCATTCAAGGTCTTTAGTTTTCGGTCCGGCATTTCTGGAACTCCCAAATCTCAGGCTTTCGGAGGCGCGTTACCCTTCAGCGCTTGCTGGCAGGTTCACCCCTGCAGCCGCGAATCCATCGTTTGCCGGTCGGATGGCCCCCCTGATGCACCACGGAGATGTGTTCCAGGGTCCTTGTCAGGTTTTCGGACTCAGGGGGTGGGAGTTAGGAGTCAGCATACAGAATTCAATTTGGGGTGTTCGATCAGCAACTTCAAATTGCCTGAAACCGAAGTGATGCCCAAGAAACAGCCCTGCCCGCCGCCCTTCTGCGCCACGTAGCGGCTTACTAATCAGCGCAAGGATGCAGGTCTCACCAGTCAGCACCCAAACGAGAGCAGTTGCCCCAATCTAGACCACAAAAATACGACAGATGCATATTCGATGCACGCCCAAAGAAGTGGTCTCTGCAGCTGATTCCAAATTCCAAGGCGGAAGCGTGAGGGTGACGCAGGGTATCTTAGGAATCAGATTTGGGCTTCGGGAGTTTAGGCGTTGGGGTGTTTGCAAGTAAGGATGCAGGGTTTCGGGTTCAGGGGTTTCTGCTATCCATCATTCTGCGTGGAGTCCTTCCTTGGTGCAAGAATAGCAACGCGAGCTTCTGAGGTCCCCACCCACACCCCAAAGAGACCTGCGAGTAGCCTAAGCTATTATCTACTCTGTTCTTTCCGGTTCCTTCTGGTGGTTGTAGTATAGTAATGCACCTCAAAACCCCACCCTACTTGTTTATGTTGGAGGTTGAATATGGGGAGCTTCAGAATCAGAATAGTGGGACATGATGAGGCATGAGGCTTCGAGCTATGGGGTTTCAGGCTTCAGCATTGTGGCGCCTAGCCTTGGATATGTAGGACTTCCGGGTTTGAGCATACGATTACGGGCTTCGAGTCTAGGGTTGTGCCGCGAGTTCGTGGTCGAACTCACCGAAATCTATTCAGAGAGGGCATTCTTGTTCCTTCTGCGTGTTCTGCGCTTGTTTCTCAGGGACTCGGGTTTCAGACCCTATAAACCCTAAACCCCTAAACCCTGAACCCTAAACCCTCGGCTGGCCGGACTGGTATGAAGCCGAACCCCAGATCTAAATCCGACGCCACATTCTCGAAGTTGCCGAAAGCCTCAGAACTCCATTGGCCCAAGCTTCAAGAAGCCTGTAAATCAGAAAAGGGTTTAGGGCTTAGGGTTTAGGGTTTAGGGTTTAGGGTTTAGGGTTTAGGGTTTAGGGTTTAGGGTTTAGGGTTTAGGGTTTAGGGCTTGGGTGTTTACACCCTCGACGTCTAAAGCTCCGCTTGATGTTCTGGCAAGGCTCTCACGCGGCAAGCTTCCAGGGGAAACATGGACGGCCTTGGTGATCCCAAGGCATGCCAGAGACTGCTAGATGCACAAAGGAAGTGGGCAGAACAAAGGCATACGGAAACAACCTTTTCGCATCACTTCGCCGGATAGACTCTGTGTAACAATGCGCCGAAATCTGGAAAAGTAGGGCGTTAACATCTACCTGTGCATTGTCTACCCAAGCCGGAGCCGTCGTGAAAACTGGTAGTCTTGAGGCTTGAGGTTCTCTGGATCCTAGACTTGATCGGCAGTGTTCTTTATGGTTCATTTTTTCACTGAAGTATGAGTGCTGAATCTGAAGCCTTCAAGCGCACGAACCATAGTGTGGCGGGTGTTCGGATCAGGGCCTAGACCGCATGCGGGTTTAGTGCGCTTAGGAGTTGAGCATAGGAAGTACGGAATTACGGCTGGCGCAAGTGCGTTAAGCCTACCGCTTTCGGTTCAGGTTGGATGTAGGGTTTCAATTACATCTTGCGTTTCTGTTGCTGATATAGTCACCTTTAGACTGCTGACTTCGAGATGTCTAGCATGACAGAGCTGGCTAAACCTCAGGCACGGTCTTAAGGAGAATTAGGCCCAAAACAACTAAACATCCCGAAATTCTTAAAAACAACCTAATCCCTAAGCATCGCTGGATCCTGAGCAGGTCGAGACCAAGACTCTTGGCTTGCCGCAGGACGCGGCCCAGACTGCCAGCGCAGGCAATTCGGTTTGTCTTGACCCTAGCCCTAGACCCTACTCAATATCCTAAACCCTAAGTTGCCCCCTAATCGCAGAGAAGACTGCCACATCTGCAAGAAGAACCTAAACTTGACTGTCTAGATGCCTTGTTTTGGGATAGATGTTTGCCGCGTCCTACTGCATGAAGGGCCCATCTCTAAGCCGCCAAGCATGAAAATCAAAAAGCCTTAAGCCGTAAACCTTCGAAGCTCCAATATTTAGGTGGAGTTTCGGCCTTGCGGATTACGTTTAGGGTTTGTGGGTCTGGGGTTTTAGGTTCGTGGGTTTTAGGTTTTAGTTGAGGTGTCTTAGGTTCAGATGTTCAGGTTTAAGGTTTTAGGTCATAGGGTTTGAGGTTACTTGAGTAGCAGCTTTCCAAGTGCGACAATGCCACAGTCACGAGAGCAGTAGTAAAAGGCCCCACTTCAAGCTTCGAATAGCACTGAGGGTCTTTTTGTCAAAGAACTTGTCTACAGGACTTTTTTTACAGGACCTGAGCTTTAGCCTGTAGCAAAAAATGCTTGAATCCGAGCGGAGCATGGGTTATTGTCCAGGACCAGGTTTTCCTGCACCAGGCCTTGTTTTGGGAAACTGTGGTCCTAGACATTATCCTCCAAGCTCTGCTCGATTTTCCCGTCCAATTTCTCCATCCCCCCCACTCTCCGCTCCCCTCCCTCCGCTCCCTTCTCCCCTCCCCTCCCTCCCCCCTGCCTTCACCCCTGCCCTCCCGTCCCCTCCCCTCCCAACGCAGTGGCTGGGTGGGTGGGTCAGAAGACGAATCCCATCAGCAACCACAGTCACAGGTTGTAAAAGGGGAAATCTGGTCCTGGACATTATCCCCCAAGCTCTGCTCGGATTTCGCCTCCCCTCCGCCCCTCGCTCCCATCCCTTCCTCCCCTCCCCTCCCCTCCCCTTTTTTGCGTGGGTGGGTGGGTGGATCAGTCTGCCAAGCGATCTGCGAAGCAGAACAAGGCGAATCCCACCGCCGATGACAGACTCAGGCGATGAAAAGTGCATGAGCCGCTGCCAGCAACCACAGTCACAGGATGTAAAGCTCAGGCACCCTCTGCCACAGGCTAAAGCTCAAGTCCTGTAAAAAGTCGTATAAACAAGTTGATTGAATTTGAGGTATTTGGGCTTTGGGCTTCGTGTTGGCATTCTTCGACTGCTCTTAGTCTCCAACCTTCATCCATCGCGGCTTCTTTGACCCGATCGCAGGGACTGACAAACAGGATGTGTCTGCTGCAGTTTTCCTGCGCTTCGATCCCGTTTGGAAACCTCGAGAGAGGTTGAATGATAGGAGCTGTGGTGAGGAGGGTTCAATAGGGTTCTTCCGAAGCCTTACGCCTTAAGCACTTTTCCGCAGTCACTTTGCTGCCGCTGCCGATACTGCTGCTGCCACTACTGCCTAGTACTACTACTACTACTACTACTACTACTACTACTACTACTACTACTACTACTACTACTACTACTACTACTACTACTACTACTACTACTACCACTACTACTGCTGCTGCTGCTGCTGCTGCTGCTGCTACTGCTTCTGCTGCCGCTACTACCGCTACTACCGCGGCTACTACTACTTCTTCTTCAACTGCTACTACTGCTACTACTTACTGCCTCGTCCGCTGCTACACCATTGTCTTCAATTATGAAACAGCTGACGCAAGTGTTGCCCCAGGCCGGACGGTCTGACGAGTTTTCTCAGTAAGAAGACTGTTGAATGTATGGATAGTACTCGCGAAGAAAACAACGGTAATACTACTGGCAATCACACTAGATCATAATCAATAGCGGCAGTAGTGTTAGCAATTAGCAGTAATGGAAATGGTAAGACAAGAATAAACAACGGTTAATACAAGAAAATACTAACAACAAGTATTGTTATAGTACTAATTAGTTTGGAGATTTGTAATACTCATAACAATCATAGATATGGTAATGGTAGTAACAGTGCTGGCAATGGTAGATGTATCAATATTGATGGAGTGAACGACGTCAATCGCAGCATTGATGCGGATGATTAGTATCTCCGAACTGGTCTTCGCGATTTCCAGGCACTGCAGTGGCCTTATAGAGCCTGAATGCATCCCCTTCAGCTAGGGAACAGGGCAAACCGACAAGAAGCCCCGGACGGCAGCACCCGAACAGAAGTCGTGGCAACCCTGTGACATGTTTTCGAGCTCGCGTACGCCCTACACCGGCACACCCTGAACCCACAACCCTTGAACCTTAAACCCATAGTACCTGCGAAGGCATGATGGCTGCCATGCGACGCACTAGTGTTGCGATCGGGATGGGAGGCCCGGAATTGAGCTAAGCCCTAGACCCAAAGCCCTAAAGGCACAGGATGCCTCCAGTTGGTTTGGAGCTAGAACGGCTGTTATGATTAGGCTCAGGCATAGAACCGTAAATCCTAAAGTCCAAAAATCCTTTCGTGATGGCGCAAGCCTGCAGAGCTCCGCTAGTGTTTAAGACTCCCCTCCGAGGCTCCTTGGTCCAATCAGCCCCCCTCGCCGCCTCCAAACATTGTTGTCAGCCAAACAGGTGTAGGGTGTAGGCCAACTAAGCCCCAATCCCCAGACCTTGAACATTGAACTGCCCCTTACCAATGCTACAACCACCCCAGGTTTCTGTCAGCAATTCAGCCCCGTGCCGGCATCGAGGGCTTAGGGCTTAGAGGGTGTCTGAGGTAGGTGTGGATTGTGTGGTGATGTTTGAAGACTTTAGGTTAAAGTCGATCGTCTGGGGCTTCAAAAAACAAGCTCCAGGGCCAACGCACCACATATGACAGTCCATGGCGCAACGTTGCGTGATAAACTTTGCCTGCAGTTCCCACTAGGCGGCATGGTCATGGCAAGTTGAAGGAGCTGCCCTTGAGAATCTATTTGCTGTGGGTTTCAACTTCAGTAGATGCCCTAATCTCCTAAGTTTTGCGTCCGCAGCCTGAACCCTCAGCCCTCGAAACCCTCAATAGAAGGGACCTGGCTAGTTCGGATGCATAGTACCATTTCTCAGGGTTCCATATTGTAGCCATAGTACAACGTTTCCCCACAAGTATGGTTCTAGTTGTTCAGGCCACTACCTGACACCCCACCACTTATCATAAAGGAGCCCTAGAAATCCGTCAAAGGATTCCTTAAAGGAACCCCATGGATCCCTTTAAGGATCCCTTAAACGCAGATCGCCTTTTGGGGGCGTGCAGGTGGCCCTGTCCTACAGCGCCCTGCGGCCCAAGTCGTCGGCCTGGTCTGTAGGGTGCTGGGTTCCTTTGAGGGCTCCTACAAGGTTTGCTTGTGTTGAACGCGGGAAGACGGGTTGGGATTAAACCTCGTACGGCTGAGGATTGAGGGTCCCTTGCTGCGCTGCATCTGTTCTCTTTTGTCAAAATTCCAACTCAATTTCTTATTAAATTAAGGTGAGGTCAACTGTGAGGCTAAGGGTTTTTGAAGTTCCCGAAGACCTAAGCCCAAAGGTGGGTTGAGGTTAATTAGGGTTTGGAAGACCTGAAAGTGTTTTTGGAACGTTTTGAAGCATATTAGCACAAGAACTGTGAAGTCCTGCATTCTTCGATACCCTGTAACTGTAGATTCTTTTTTAGGCCGTAGAAGCCTCTGCAACACCTTCATGAGTCCCGATAGAGAACTAACACAACGTATGTTGAGGGTCTCTCAGGCCGCCTAAGCCCTAAGCCTAAGCACGTTTTGGCAGGCCAGCCGGGTTTTGGGCATAGGGTACTTCGAAGCGCCAAGTAGCTTAGAATTTAGACTTGGGTAACGGACCCTACACCCTAAACCCTAAACCCTAAACCGTCTTTGGGTGCCTTTGTGTGGCTCTCGGCTCTCCACTGAGGTTCAGGTCCAGGTTCCGGCCGCAGTGCCGCAGATGCCGCAAAGCACTCGCCGGGCCTCCCTCGCCTTCAACAACAATGCCCCGGCCTCGGAGCATCCAATGCGGGGTCCTGGACTCGTTTCACGAGTTGGGCGACGAGACCCTGAGCCATACAAGCTTCGGATTCAGATGACACGTTTTGGGGGGGGGGGGGGGGGGAAAAGCACTGGATTCTATCAAGGATATGAGCCCTATCTTCCAAAAGCTGCTAGAAGTAAAAATATTCCGGCTGCATATGTATCACACTGGATGTCAAGGAAACCTCATCATTGGAATCAGGCGCATTCCGATTAGCATGTGAAACGCCGGCCGTGCGGAATAAGAGAGTATGCTGGTGGCTGGTGGGTCCTGAGACTTTGAATTATGAGCCGTACATGGAAGTCGGAATATGCATATTTTCGACCAATACAGTAGTAGTGCAGTAGTACAGTAGTAGTACAGTAATAGTACGGTAGTAGTACTGTAGTAGTGCAGTACTAGTAGTACAGTAGTACAGTAGTAGTACCGTAGTAGTACAGAAGTAGCACAGCACAATAGTAACAGTAGTAGTGCAGCAGTAGTACATCAGTAGTACAGTACGAGGGTTTAGGAGTACCTGGGGCTGTTTAGCGGGGTTTGGGGATCACCAAAAGCTGGAAACCAAAGCCACGGTCACTCCAAGATAACTACCTACGCTCAAAACCCTTCATTTTGAAGACTTTTGCGTCCAACCTACACCCCCCTCCACAGTCTAACAAGTGTGAGGCCTGGTACGGTACAGTAGGTAGTATTACAGTAGTAATACAGGAGTAGGACAGTAGTAGGACAGTAGTAGAACAGAAGTACAGAAAATCCCCCAACCAAAAAAGAAACGCATTGGTTAGGCCACCCTTTTTTGTGGTGGGGGCCTGAATTAGGAAGAAGGCAACGCATTTCTTAGGGTCACCGGATTAAAGGGGCCCGCACATTAGGGTTAAAGGTTAAGGGCGTAGGGCGGATGTTTGTGGCGGATATGATGTTGACTTCGTGGGCCACCGCTCGTTTGGTTTCGCTGGTTAATGTGCCTCCAAGACTCTTGTGTTTCCCCGCGTGGACACAAAGCAAATCGGAATCCGAGCGAAGGAAGGAGGTTGTGGGGAGTTCCTTATCGATGAGGAGAGGTGCTATCGATGAGTTAGTCTTCCCCCCGGAGAGTAGCCTTCAAAAAGAATACCGTAAAGCAGATTTGCTGTGGAGACACCAGCTAGAAACCTAGACCAACCCTAGACCACAACTGCACATCCAGTGCTCCACGTAGCCGTCATCACATGCAAGGGCCAACCAGCGCTTGCGCCGCCGCCGGTGCAGATGACGCCTATCATGCCTTCGTTCCAAGAGGTGGGGCGCATGGTCAACTTTAGGGTTTGGTTTAGGCTTCAGGGTTCAGGTCTTAGGTCTACCTGTAGCAGGTCTCTACATCTTCGGCTTAACCCCTAACCCCCTAAACGTTGAACCCCAAGCCTCGCAACGCTGAAACCCCAGAATACCCCCAACCCTGTAGTCTAAACCGCGCCCGAACCAAGAGCCCAGAATTCTGAATCCTCAAACCGAAGCCGTTTGCCATGCTGCATGGTTTTCAAGGCCTCGAGCCGGCAGTGCTCCAGTCTGTCAACTCTGCATCAGAAATCTAAACCCCGAAACCTGGACATTGAGCCAACAGTCCCGAAGAGACCGTAAACAAACCCTAAACCCTGTTAAGTGATGATCCTGACGTTGGTTTCTGTGCACGCCAGTTTTGTGGTGGGTGTTCAGTCCCCTACTTTCCGAAAATGGTTTATTGCTGCATCCTCAGCAGATAGATACCGGGATAGTTGATTATTGTTCTGTGTTTAACTGTTGTTCCTGTCAGTCCGACAGTCAGTCTTAGACCTTGGGCACTGCAGTCGTCCTGAATCATGGTCTTGCGGCCATGACACGTAAGCAGAAACACGCTCGACCGAACCCGGTATCCGAATCCTAAACCCTAAACCCTGAAGCCCTAAATGGGCGACTGGGAAAAAAGAGCTTAAACAAAAAAAAAAAGAAGCCCTAAACCCCACCCCAGACCCTACACCCTCAAGCCGATTCTTCAGGAGGAAAATGAAAACTCCGACGATGACTCGAGCCCACTGGGCTCGCCTGTCGCGAAGGTGCTGCTCCCACTTATCTCAACTTAGGGGTACTTGGAAATAGTGTTTAATTTCTGGTTATTAGAATCCCTAAGAAACAGCGAAAATTAGAAAATCTTTGCTAGGGTTCTAAGTTCAGAATAGTCAACTGAGGGTGCAGGCTTTAAGATCTTCAGGCCTGAGGATTCAGGCCTCAGGGCTCGGGCTTCCGGGCTTATAGGGATCCTTAGGGGTGTAGGGGGAGGGGGGGTAGGGGGCCTTAAGGCCCATAATAAGGCCTATTTAAGGAAATATAGTCCCCTACACCCCTCCCCCCTACACCCCTAAGGATCCCTATGACGGGCTTAACGGGAACTCCAGAAAGTTGGAATATGGTTTCAGGGTAGGATACCTTATCATTTACCATAGAAGGGTAAGGATAATCATATTCCAACTTTCTGGCTTTTACCTTAGAGGCAAAACCGAGGGCTTTGGTTCGGGATCTGGGTTCCGATTCTAGGGTTCGAAACTGGGGTGTTGATTGGCTTCTGTGCTTGATAAACAATACTGGTAACTCCGTAATCTTTTTGCGTCATGATACTGTGATTCTTTGGGTGGGTAGTTCCTTTTCCGGTGCATTGCTATCCCTGTGATTCCCCAGCCGAGCAACCGTAAACCATAAGCCCGGCCATGCCTCAGCGGTAAGGCTGCATCTTTCCTTGCCAGCCCCGGACATGAAATACATCCAGCACCTCAATGTCCTAGGGTTGTGGGAGGTGGAGCACCAAGGGGAACACCATTGCAACTCGAGGTTTGGGTACCCTCGACTTCTTGTTTTCGGCGTCTGTAGCTGGACGCATGATATGGTGCGGCTGCACGAGGGGCTCAAGTTCGCAAAGCCATGATTTCTCATAACTGTGGTAGATGAGCCGCCGGGTCCTTCAAATCCTGTGAAAGTCCACGGGCACATCGTCAAGACGCCCGGGACACACTGGCAAACAAGAAACCAGGCACAAGCTACGGCCGAAGCTTCTCCCCATAGTCCCTAAACCCTAAGGCCCTGAAGCTCTAAACCCTAAGGCCCCAAAGCCCTAAACCCGAAACCCTCAAGAACCCAAAGGCCCTTGAAAGAGCATCATGGACACTCCCAACATTATGCTGGTCTTGTTTAGGTGTTTTTTGGTTGTAGGTCCCTAGTAAAACCCTCTGGAAGCCAGGAAGCCCCTAAGCCTGAAGCCAGGATTCGGAAGACGAGGAAAACGAAGTGAAGGCAAATTCTCAGGAGCAGGCGCGATAATATATATATATATATATATATATATATATATATATATGTGTATAATGTAATATTATATATATATATATATATATATACATACATATATATATATATATATATATATACATATATATATATATACATATATACACAGGTATATATATATATATATATGTATGTATATATGTATATATATATATGTATTTATTTATTTGTTCTTGTTTCTTTACTTATTGTCATCCTTATTTAAACATATTGACATAATGCAGCATGTATGTATAATATATATATATATATATATACATACATACATACATACATATACACACATGTATATAAGGAGAGAGAGAGAGAGAGAGAGAGAGAGAGAGAGAGAGAGAACCGGATCCTTCAAGAAAGACAGCTTTCGCGATGCTACACCCTACGCGTCATAAATTCCTATAGGGCCCCCAAAGTCCCTAAGCAATGAACCCTAATACTATCTGAAGCACGTGCTGGTCGTCGTGGTTGTCGTAGACTAAAAGTCTTCGTTCTCGTCGTTGCACTCGTCGTCGCTCGTTGTCGCAGTCGTCATCGTAGCAGCACTGGCAGTAGCACTAGCAGTAGCCGTGGCCCTAGCCGTCGCCGTCGGCGTAGTGGCAGTGTAGTAGTGGTACTGATAGCCGTGGTGGTAGTAGTAGCAGTAGCAGTAGTAGTAGTAGTGGTAGTAGTAGTAGTAGTAGTAGTAGTAGTGGTAGTAGTGGTAGTAGTGGTAGTAGTGGTAGTAGTGGTAGTAGTGGTAGTAGTGGTAGTAGCAGCAGCAGTAGGAGTAGTAGTAGTAGTCGTCGTAGTAGTCGCCATTGTCGGAGTCGTAGCAGTCATAGTCATCGTCGTAGTCGTCGTCATAGCAGTTGTTGTGGTTGTGGTTCTAATTTTATTTTTGATAATTATATGTCTAGTTGTAGTTTGTTTTAGTTTCAGCTGCAGCTGCAGTTGGAGTTGGTAATTGCGGTTGTGGTCGTGGCTGTGGTTGTTGTTGTTGCTTTTGGTTTTGCTTCCGTTGCTATTGTTGTTGTTGTTGTTGCTCTAGCTGCTGTTGTGGCTGCTGTCGCTGTATTTGTTGCTGTTGCTGTTGCTATTGCTGTTGCTATCGTTGTTGCTGTTGCTGTTGCTGTTGCTGTTGCTGTTGCTGTTGCTGTTGCTGTCGTGGTGGTGGTGGTGGTGGTGGTGGTGGTGGTGGTGGTGGTGGTGGTGGTGGTGGTGGCACTAGCGGTAGTATTAGTGGTAGCAGTTGTTGCGGTTGTCGTCGTTGTCGTCTCTGCGTGGAGTGTGGCGAAGGCTGCAGTTCCGAGCAAGCCGCAGCACAAGGCTGGATTCAACTTATTGCTTTGTGTTTAAGGTTCAGACTGTGCCAGATTTTCAGGCTCTTTAGGTTCGAGAGTAAGGTGTGTGTGTGTGTGTGTGTGTGTGTGTGTGCATACTAACAGACAACTGTACATAAATGTGTATATTTGGCATATATATAATCACATATATATATATATAGATATATTGTATACATCTAGACGCACATAGTGAACGGTATATATATATATATATACATATATATTGTATACATCTAGACGCACATAGTGAACGGTTATCTCAGCGCCCATACACTATATCTTTATGTTTGGCTGGAGGATCAGGGTTTGAAGTCATAAGGTCCTCGCATTCGCGAGCACCCTTCCAACTTTCGATTCAGGGCCCCTTGGTAGATGGCGAAGAGATGATGCTCCCGAGTCGGGCAGTATACTTAGTAGCTGAGTGGATACACTTTACACTTTTTGGGATAATATTACCGACTATAAAACTAAAAGTGTACACTTTTGGGGGCTTATGAACTCGGCAACTAAGTATACCTGCAAACTAACCGGATGCCAGTCGTAGTGTTGAGGTGCTTGAGGGCTCAAGGTCTTGGGTGCATCTTGAGGGAGGGATTTGGGGTGTTGGGCTGCTAAACACTAGACTAAACCCTAAACCGTGACACAGATGCTTCGGTCATGAAACATCGCCAAGCCAAATCCTAAGCGTTAGAGGGTCCAGGACCCGCAAGTCTTGGAGCACGCACCCGGGACTACAAACCAGAGCCCTAACCTGAAGCACCGAAGGTGCAGCTGACGATAAAAGAGAAGGACGACGAAGTGATTTCGCAGCTGAGACATGGTTTGGGGGGGGTTCAAAATTGCATCAGCTGGGATTCATAGTTTTAGCGTTGAGTTCAACATCGCTTTTCGGTTGGAGGGTCGTAGTAACGAGGGCCTTGGGGCGAAGATTTTTAGTTGTAGGGTTGGGGCAATCTCGAACCCCGGCGGCCCTAAACCCTACAGCGCGACTCAGGGTTCTAGATCAGGCCTGTGTTTCTTTGGTGGGTTGTCCTTCTTGAAGCTGAACAATAGGGACCGCGGTACACTTATTGAGGGGAGATATGGGGACTTAGTGCATCCAAGGGTAAAAGGAGGGACCCTTAATAAGGACCCCCAGGTATATACCCTTAATATAGCTATTATATACCCATTATATACACCATTATAGGGACCCAGGGGTCCCCATGAAGGGTCCCTGCTTTTCCCCTTTGAGTGTAGGTCTGAAGGTTGGGAAGTTGCGGCTTCTTGGGTCGAAGCCGCTTCCACATAAAGGGAACTCCAGAAAGTTGGAATATGGTTTCAGGGTAGGATACCTTATAATTTACCATAAAGTTTTTAGGATAATCATATTCCAACTTTCTGGCTTTTACTTTAACCCACACACAACATCACAACATCTACCTCCGGGCTCCCAAACACAAACAGTACTAAGGGGGGCTTCATGATTACCACCATTATTCCCTATGTTCCCTCTAGTCTAAGAGCTTTCACTGGACAGGGTTTCAATGGATGTTTGCAGGGTCTTGGAGTGGTTTTTAACAAGGTTTTCCGGCATCAATGATTGGAATAGGGGTTGAGTAAGAATTTGCAAGGGTTTACCGGGGCTTCACAGGGTTTCTAGGATAGGGGCGTCAACGATTAGAATAGGCCTTGAAGACGGATTTGGAAGGGCTTTAGCTGTTCTTTACAGGGCTTCTTAGTACAGAGGCATCAGCGATTGGAAGAAGGTTTTTCTCTGAGTTTCACAGGGTTTTGGAAAGAATTAGCAGGATTTGCAGTGTTGTTACCGTAGTTGGCGTTTAGTGTGAATTTTTAGCTTTGTTCGGGTTTTGCAGGGGGGTTGGTCCTGGGGCCTTAGGGTCAAAAAAGGGTTTTGAGGTAGAGTAAGTATAGTTGTAACAACGAGGCCGGGGAAATAGAGCACTGGCAACCATAGCCCTTACACTCTAAGACGGGGTTCAGGGTGTTTGGGTTTAGGGTGTTTGGGTGTGTTGGGGTGTTTAGGGTGTTTGGGGGCTTAGGGTGTTTAGGGTGTGGGTTGAGGGTTCTTGAGTGGCTGGCCCTAGGTTCACGCCATCCTCGATCGGTGGATCTGAGCAGGCGCCGGGATATACTGCATGGTGCAGCGTTTCTGCGTTTGAGGGCTAATTCAATACGTTCGACCGCAAAACCTCCTCCCCCCGAACCCCCACCCAAAAAAAGGAAACAGCCTAACGCAGCCCCTGAAAAAGCCCAAAACCCGAAGGCCCGATACAGCCCTGAAGCCCTAAAACCTGCTGTGGATTTAGGGGCTTTAGAGTTTCACACGACTTTCGGTTTTCCAAGGTTTCGGGCTTAGGATTTCAGTCAAGCCCCGAAGCTCTAAAGCCTTGAAGCACCGAAGCGCTAAAGTTCCAGGCCCCCTGCTTAAACCCTACACCCTAAACCCCTAAACCCCTAAACCCTGAACCCTAAACCCCCCTAAACCCTAAACCCCTAAACCCCTAAACCCTAAACCCTTCTAGGGCTTTTGGGGTGTAGCACGGCAATTCCTTCAGGCCTGTGGGCTCCTGTTGCTGCTCGAAGATCTCTTGACTTCGGGCGTCTAGGGCCTTTTTTAGGCTTCGGGCTTTAACGAGCGCGTGCTTCAGGGTCCATGCTGGCGTTGAGGTTCAGGGCTTAAGTCTAGAATTCAGGGCTTAAGTCTAGCATTCAGGTTTAAGGTTTTAGGCTTCAGGGTCCAGGGGTTTCGCGGCTTCCGGCCTCATCCACCCGTAGAGAGCCCCCAATAGTTGAGAAGTGCTTTTGTCAGATATCGACACACAAACAACATCGAGACAAGTTACCCTGAACGTCTGACCGGGGCTCTCAATCCCTAGGACCGAGAGTAGGCCCTTATTCCCTTTTTGTAGGGTTCAGGTTCCCTTAAAAGCCCCTTTCAACCAAAAAGGGCACCCTTTTTATGCCGAGGTTACTCTTAGGTCTAGATCCTGAACCTGAGTCTGCCTTGAAACTCGAAACCGGCAACCTCAGCCCTACCTGGAACTCTCCTCTGCAGTCTTTGTTCCGCTGAGCCCATTTTTATGCTTTGCTTAGGTTCCTGTCACGAAGATCAAGGTAGCGACGAACTGAACTTCAATGGAGACGATACAACTTTGTCATAGTTGGGTAACATTTTACTACATTTTTACGGGTACTTAAACCCAATAAGGAATAGAAGTGGAAGTTTTTAATCCTAACCCAACCATGAACTAGACAAGGTCAAATTTAGATCCCGATTCTTCCCCAAAACCCCACAAGCGACTCACATCCCCAAGCAGTCTCGGCACCTAGGAGTGAGAGCCTAAATTTCTAAACCCGACGACCTCAATAGCCCTCCGCCACAAAAACATCAGAGCCGTAAACCCTGAAGCCCCACCCCCTCAAACTCTAAAGCTCTATCTTTTTCCTCACGCAAATCCTTAAACCCCACAACGCCCCAGACGCTAGCCCTAAACACCGAAACCCTACAGCCCCAGACCTGGGCTCTTCACCCTAAACCCGACAGCCCTAAACCCCAAAGCAACAACACCGCAAAAGCAGCCAACACACGGTGGGAAATGGGAGTTTCCGAAAATAGGGGACCCTAATATGGTACCCTAAGTAGTAGGACCCCAAAACAAGGTACCCCTAATTATCGGAAACTCCCAAATGCCACAGGGCTCCCGGCATCAGTCCTGGACACTCCGCGGCATGCAGCCCACGGACAGCTCCGAGGTCGCTGATTGGGGTTTCTTGAAGGGTTCCTGTGAAGGTTGTTAGAAGAGTTCTGCAAGTGTGATACGGCTTCATATAAGGTTTGGGTGTTTTGGGTTTGGGGCGTTGCTGGTTGTTGAAGAGCGTGTATGCGTTTTGACTGTAAGGTTTCGGGGTTTGGGCCGTTTGGGGTTCAGGTTTGAGTTTGGGGTTTGCAGTATTAGTTGAGGGTTGAAGAAGCTAAGGGTTTCTGAAGCGGCCCCTATGTTGGTTTTATTCTTAGTGTTTTTTCAGGGCTATATGACCTGTCAAACTGATGCATATAGGGTTTTGAAACCCTAAACCCTAAACCCTAAACCCCTAAACCCTAAACCCTAAAACCCTAAACCCTAAAACCCTGAACCCTAAACCCTAAACCCTAAAACCCTAAACCCTAAACCCTAAACCCTAAACCCTAAACCCTAAACCCTAAAACCCTAAACCCTAAACCCTAAAACCCTAAACCCTAAACCCTAAACCCTGAACCCTTTGGGGCTTTAGGGCCTGTAGGGTTCGACCTTTCAGGCCTCCGAGTTCAGAGTCTCACTTTGGGTTTATCCGCAGGCTTCGGGGTTTAGGGGGCTTCTGAGGTTTAAGAACCCTAAACCCTAAACCCTAAACCGTAAACCCTTAAGCTCTAGGGAGGCTTCAGCTTAAGGGGGGGGGGGTTTAGGGCGGGGCTTCTGGGGTTTAGACTTTAGGGAGCTTTGAGGTTTGGGGGTTTAGGGTTTAGGGTTTAGGGTTTCAGGTTTGGGTGTAGTTTTTGGTTACTATAATCCCTATAATCTCTAAGTTCAGTATAGCTTAGACTGTAGCGAGGTTTCAGGTTTGGGGGGTATAGGGGGTTTAGGGTTGTCCCCCAGAGTCTTGGCAAGTTTTGGGAGCTCCCCAGGCCGGGAGCGTGGGAGTTCTGGCCTAGGGGTTGCAATGAGTCGCAGCAATATGGGTTTAGGGTTTAGGGTTTAGGGTTTAGGATTTAGGGTTTAGGGTTTAGGGCTCCCTTTAACTATCAACTCGATGCTCATGCTCACAAACTTCATCCATGCTTGTATTGCTCTCGGACTATAAGCTGCCTACGCCTGCAACCGCAGCATCAGCTGTGGCAGCAGGGGTGATGCCCCTGTCCTCCCCCCTGCCTGCTGCTTGTCCCCGGTTCCTGACTTGCCCTGCCATCTTGAGCAAAAGAAAACGGGTCCCTAAAAGGAAGAGGTCTGGGTAGTTTGGCCGCCACACACGGCGCAGAAGGAACAGCTTTCTATGGACAGGCTGTTCCAGCTCATCGCCGTAGTACGATGCACTCGACACAACCTTGTCGCAAGATATTGTAGCCTACACACTCTTCCACGGCAAACCCTTAACCTAATCCCCAAACCCTGAACCGAAAACGTTCTTCTCGATTTCGGCTCGGTGCTTCGTGGCGGAGCCTCCAAGCACAGTCCTCATGGTCATGCATATGTGCTGTTTTGAATGCCCTAAATCCGTCTGAGCTTTACACCCTCAACTCTAAACCCAAACCCTCTTAAGCCCCTAATCCCTAAACCGCATGTGCGGTCAGGCGAATCGGCTCAGCTCCATGCGCAGCAGGGCGTGGCAGGCCATTTAGGGTTTAGGGGTTTGGCTGAGTTCCGGTAGGGTTTCTCGGACCTCTGAGGCTCATCTGAGCAACTGGGATTTTGTTAAAATGAGGGGTAACTTATAGTAGGATCCTTATGATAAGGATCCTACGATTATTTTTTTTTAAATGAGGGGTACCTTATAGTAGGATCCTTATGATAAGGATCCTACTATTTAGGGCACTACATTAGTGCAACCCGCCGCCGGCTCCAGGACCTGAGGCTTCAATAGTTTCGTGCTTTAGTGTCTTCATGTGGGAGTTTCCGGAAATAGGGGTACCTTATTTGGGGGTCCTTTTTCTAAGAATCCTAATACTAAGGGTACTATACTAGGGTCCCCTAATTTTCGGAAACCCCCCGATGTGGCTTCATGCTCGTGCGCCCGAAGCCCCAAATCTGAAGAGCTCAACTTGCTGGGTTCAGGCTGATGGGGTTCCTGATGCTGATAGTGATGATGATGATGGTGATGGTGATGATGATGTTGACGATACTGACAAAGATGATGACGATGATGATGCTGACACAGATGATGATGAGGCTGGTGTTGATGACGATGTTCAAACCTACACTAGTGTGAAAGAAGATGATCGCCTGATAGTAACAAGGGTCATGGTGCTGCTGGTGAGGCTGTTAATAGTATTGGCGCTAGCGACGATGGTTTCAACATCACGATATTTCACGTTGTTCTTGATGTTTACGCTTCTTCTGACCATGTGTAGTTTCCAGAAACTTATGTCTGATCGGCCAAGGAGCACAAGCACAAGCATCCCCACCGAAGCCATGCAGGACCCCTCACCCCTAACCGAGAATCGACATCCTAAGCCTTGAGCCTAAGCCCTAAATCCAGAAGACCGATATAGTCGAATCTCAACCCTCAGGCCCCGACCCTACAACTGTAATCCGAGGAGGATGACGGAGACGGTGCGGCATCTACTCCCAGGAGCAGGTCGGGCTTCGTTTTGATTACTACTACTACTACTACAACAACAACTACTACTACTACTACTACTGCTACTACTACTACTGCTACTACTACTACTACTACTACTACTACTACTACTACTACTACTACTATTACTACTGCTACTACTACTACTACTACTACTACTACTACTACTGCTACTACTGCTACCACTACTACTCCTACTGTTGCTGCTACAACTACAACAGTGCTACTACTACTGCTACTGCTACTGCTACTGATACTGCTACTACTGCTACAACTATAACTACAAACAACAACTACTACAACAACAGCAACTACAACTACAGCAACAGCAACTACTACTGCAACAACTACTGCTGCTGCTGCTACTACTAATAGTACGACGACGACTGAATTAATACTACCACTACTACTCCTACTCCTCCTGCTACCACTACTACTACGACGACGACTACCACTACGACGACTACTACTACGACTACTACTACCACTACTACTCCTACTACCACTGCTACTACGACTACTACTACTGCTACTACCTCTAGTAGTACTCTTCTTCGTCCTACTACTGCTCCTACTAGTCCTGCTTTTCCTACTACTCCTACGACTCCTGCTACTGCTACTATTCCTGCTACCCTACTGCTACTCCTACTCCTCCTACTCCTACTCCTACTCCTACTCCTGCTCCTACTCCTACTCCTACTCCTACTCCTACTCCTACGACGACGACTACTACTACTACGACTACTACGACTACTACGACTACTACGACTACTACGACTACTACTACTACTACTACTACTACTACTACTACTACTACTACTACTTGTACTACTACTTGTACTACTTGTACTACTTGTACTACTTGTACTACTTGTACCTCTTGTACTACTACTACTACTACTACTACTACTACTACTACTACTACTACTACTACTACTACTACTGCTACTGCTACTGCTACTGCTGCTGCTACTGCTGCTACTACTACTACTACTACTACTACCACCACTACTACTACTACTACTACTACTACTACTACTACTACTACTACTACTACTACTACTACTACTACTACTACTACTACTACTACTACTACTACTACTACTACGTTGTTGTCACAGTAGCACATGCAGCAGGGACGGCAGTGGGAGGTCTAAGAAGACTGGGAACTGTCATAGTCGCGAGTGTTAGGGGTAGACCTATGACAGCACGCCCTGCGAGGTTTCTGCTGATGCCAGACACTATGGTTAGCCTCTGTGGCAGCCCCAGCCCAGGGGGACATCAGCCTTCTCATAAGGGTGATCTGCTAACTGCTTCAGCTTCATGATCGAGAGGCTGAGGTGTGCGTCTTTAAGAGTTTCTAGTGTTGAGGCTCCTTATGCTGGACTTGTCCAGGACGGAGGATTTGGGCCCCATGGGGAAGAAGCCAACAGAGAAGTCGGAACAAAACAGAAATGCTTCCCCGGTGACCTGATGTACACCCTGACCACATTTTGATGCAGGCCCCCATATCACTGAGTGCCCGAGCCCTAGAGCACCGATTGAGGAACTGCTCACGCCCGTGCTCAGGTTGGAACATCATCATGCTGCTGTGCGTCAGCATGCGCCGTGGCGGCAGGAGTATCCACAGAACCCTAAACCCTAAACCATCCAAAGATGGCAGGGAGAAAAGAGGGTTTAAAAAATAAAAAAAAACCATCCAAAGAACCTCATTCGTGGGACCTTGGGGTTTCGCGGCCTTGCGGTCTCAGAGATCTGAGTTATTCCCATTTTGGGATCGCTGCAGTCGGGAGTTCTTTTGGGGATGGGAGTTTCAGCAGGTAGAGAAGAGCAGTCGTGACTGAAACTAGTTCAGTTCTGCGAGAGAGAGAGAGAGAGAGAGATATATATATATATATAAGTAAGAGAGAGAGAGAGAGAGAGAGAGAGAGAGAGAGAGAGAGAGAGAGAGAGAGAGAGAGAGAGAGAGAGAGAGAGAGAGAGAGAGAGAGAGAGCGAGACAGAGAGAGAGAGACAGAAGAGAGAGTGAAAGTGAAAGTGATAGCGAAAGTGAAAATAAAGAAACGGAGAATGGGAGAGAGAAATAAAGCGAGCAGGAGAGGAAGAGGGAGAGGAGAGAGGGAGAGAGACGGAGATAGAGGGAGAGAGACGGAGAGGAGGGAGGGAGAGAGACGGAGAGGAGAGAGGGAGGTAGAGGGAGAGAGACGGAGAGAGAGGGAGAGAGAGGCAGAGAGAGAGGGAGAGCGAGAGGGAGAGAGGGAGAGAGGGAGGGAGAGAGAGAGCGAGAGAGGGACAGAGAGGGAGCGCGAGGCGGGCAGAGGGAAAGGAAGTTGGTAGGGCTCATAGGGTCGTTCTCCGACCCAAAACAGCGGTGTCTTGTGTTGCACAATTCCGTGAGAATCAGGGGAGACTGTGGATGATCGAAAGGGTCAGATGAATACCAGTTGGGCTAAAGTTTCTTGATGCCGCATCGAGTCCCAAAGCAAACCCTAAACCTGGCCTGTTTTCTCTGAAACGCCAAGCATCTCACATCATCTCTTGCGACGAGCCCAGGCAACGTTAGGGGGAAATCCAATTCAGGCTTAGGCCCAGGTCATGGCCCCTGCGTTGGACATGCAGACCTTAAGCCGTAAACCCGTAAAAGCCGAATGCCAGAGCCAAGGATTGCGGGGCTGATCCCTATCCAGTTGGCATATCTCTGGGGCGAGGAACTTCCTCCCGACTGGGGCATCGCCATTGGCCACTTCCCAGCATCTTTTCCCGAAGCCCTGAGCCCCGGCTGAGGCGTTGCCCGCCTACCTGCCTGCCTGCCTGCCTGCCTGCCTGCCTGCCTGCTTAATGTATGCATTTATGATTCGAACGAGACCGGGAGGGTTGGCATGTATCGTTGTGTACTGTAGTAGAACGTAGCGACATGCGCGCATACATGTACATGCACACGTGTTTGCCTGCCTGCCTGCCTGCCTGCCTGCCTGCTTGCGGGCTTGCTTGTCTGCTTGCATGCAGTGCTTACTTGCTGGCTGACTTTTTCGTACTTACTTACTTATTTACCTTTGCTGGCTTGGTTTACTGCTCGGCTTTGCTTTACTTCGCCTCACTTGAGTTGACTGTACGGTACTGTACAGTACGTTGCCTTGCTTCGCTTCACATCCTGTTACCTGCTGCATCAACAATAGCTTTTCGTGCGGCAGTGCTTTTTACTTTACTTCATGTCGCTTCATCTGATATTTCTTGTGCTGTTGCTTTGCCCTTGTCCCTGCATTTACTATGCGTTGACTTTACTTTCACGTCACTTCACTCTGCTTCACTGTACTTCACCTTTCTTCAGCTTTCGCTGTACTGTTGCCGTACTTGCACTTCATGTCACTCTAACTTTTACTCTATTGCCGTACTTTCGTTTTCACTTCACTCTTGCTGTGCTTTCATCTTGCTTTACTTGGCTGTACTTCACGTTATATACTTCACTTCTACTCTATGTTGCTTAACTTACTTTACGCTTGCTAGCCTTCTCTGCTTACTAGCTACCCGGACGAGCGAACACACTTATCACTAACGGGCTTACTTAATTCAAGACTTACTCAAACACTTGTTGAACACACTTGCATACATGCATGCATCCAGCTGTTGCTGATGAGTCATGCACGGAAGCTACCAGCAGAGAGGTATCTGCTGGAAGACTTTTCTACTATCTGTATATCTCTTTGCCTGCATGCCTTTCTGGCTACTATTCCGCATATCGACCTGTCGGTCAATTTGGATGGTTGTCAAAATTATGGTCCCTTTTTGGGTCCCACGGCACCTAAATTTAGGGCACCCAAAAATGGACCCTCATTTTGACACCCACCCTTTTGTTCTTTTTGTATGCCTCTATGTCTCTGCTTTCTCTGTCAGTCCGCCTCTCGCTGGCTCCTTGATGAACACTCCGTTGCTCTTTCTGTTTCTCTGTCCGCCCGTCTGCCACGTCTTGTGTTTGTGAGTTCATACGTGCAAGTATGTCACACCTCTGCATCGTTGTCTGTATCTGTACTAAATTATAAGTGTATGCATGGGTGCATATTGATGACTGGGCGGGAGCGGGCTGAAACATCGGAGTGCGGAGTGAGTTGTTTGATGAGCCTGCCTAAGCCACACAGCAGTGTTTAATCTGTACGGTCTTCAATGTTTGGCGAGGAAGCCTTTGTAATGTTGTTAGTGTGTGAACTGTCACGCCAGGAGGTCTTCACTACTTGTCTCATGCGGAGATTTCGCCACACATTTGCGCCAGCTTCATGTCGCCTGTTTCCGAAGTGTTGCTTGACACGCGCCTGTTTTTTTTCTGGCCGGTCTTTCTTGCTCTCTGCATGCGTGTCGCGCTCGTGTTTCTGTTGTCTGCTCTCTCTCTCTCTCTCTGTTTGTTCTCTCTCGCTCCTTCCCTCCCTCCCTCCCTTGCTCGCTCTCTTTCTCTCTCTCTCTCGCTCTCCCTCGATCTCCCTCGCTCGCTCTCGATCGCTCTCGCTCTCTCTCTCTCTCTCTCGCTCTCCCTCGCTCTCCCTCGCTCTCCCTCGCTCGCTCTCGCTCTCTCGCTCTCGCTCTCGCTCTCGCGCTCTCGCTCTCGCTCTCGCTCTCTCGCTCTCTCTCTCTCTCTCTGTCTCTCTCTCTCTCTCTCTTTCTCCTCCCTCTCTCTCCTAGACTCTTGCTGTCGCCCTGTTGCTGTATCCTTGCCCACTGGCAGCACCATCACAAGCCTCGCCTTCATGACCATCATCTGCCCTCAACAGCATCAGTATCATCTAGACAGTACCCATAGGCCCCAAAGTAGTTCCTTTTTGGGATTACTTTAAAGGGTTCTAAATAAGAACACCAAAAAGGAACTACTTTGGGGCCTTAGGGTAGTCCCCCCACCACCATCCTGAGACCCAACGCGTAGACACCTGCCGAGTTCTTCTGGACATCTGCCTCATCGTCGACGTGCGGTGCTTGGCGAGTCGGGTTTGGTTTGGCAGGGCCTTAGGGGATCCCGGGTTTCGGATCCCGAAGCCACCTGGCCTTAAGTTAACTTGTCTGTCTGTCCGTCTGCATGTATGTAGGTTTGCTTGTAGGTATTTTGGTGTAGTGTAGTGTACTTACATGTGACGTCCTGTAGGGGAGGGTGGGGGAGTGTAATTTGATGTACCCGTAAGGTACTGTGACTTAATGTCTGCTAATCTATGAACCGTCTTTCTTCGTGATTTGTTGTTCTAGCTTTCATAGCTGACTGGGTATGTTGCCATAATCGAGAGCGCCTACCCACCATGCATACCGTCACGCAGACTGCATCCTCCCTCGGATCCCGAAGACTCCCACAACCGTAGGCTCCAGCCCACACGGCAAATCCGAAAGTCCTCAGCCCCAAATCAAAGTCAGCGACGTCAGAGACATGACGCGTTGTCACGAAGGCAAATCCGCAAGGGACAAGAATCAAGGGGATGGGGGGTGTGCCACACGGGGAAACGCATGTTCTCAGTGAACTTGCTGCACCGCTTGCCCGAGTTTGCATTCAGCTTCCCTTTCAACCGCCGCCCTGTGTACATAAGCCAACTTCAGCGAGTTTGCAGCAACACATGGTTAAAGTTTTGGAAAAACAGCGCCCCACATCGAAAGTGTCCACGATCTGTAGTGTAAAGGCCCTATAGTAAGTAAGCCCCCCCCCTCAAGTTGAGGCCAAAGAGCCCATTGCCGGCATGTTGCAGCGACCACTAAAACCCTAAACCCTAAACCCCTAAACCCTAAACCCTAAACCCAGCGACCACTAAAGGTCAACCCGAGACCCGAAATCCTCAGCTCAAAGCAAGTTGAGGCAACTCAGTGCACACGGGCACTACAGAATCGGAAGGAGCCCTCACCACCGCTTAAATCTTCAGGTCAGCGTGCAGATGTTTGCAGTTTAGTGATGTTTAGGGCTTACATGTTGCGAGAGTTGCTAATTTAAAGCCTCCCGTCAGGTCTGCGCATGTATTTATGTATATATGAATGAATGCATGCATGCATGCATGCATGCATGCATGCATGTATGTATGTATGTATGTATGTACGCGTGTACGTATGTGCGCACGTCTGTATGTGGGTAAGTGTGTAAGTAAGTCAGTATGTATGTATGTATAAATAATTGTACGTAATTGTATGCAACCGTATGTAACTGTACGTGTGTATGTATGTATACATGCATGCATGTGTGTATGTATATATATATATATATATATATATATATATATATATATATATATGTATGGATGCTGTTCTAAAAAGGGCGGGTGCAAGATACATCACATACTAACTAAGTCGAAATGCGTGGTAATTTACAGTTTGCGAAGGGTTTATGATGACATGAGTGAAAACCCCTGCGCACGCGAGACGGCGCAAGGGCGGGCGCAAGCTCTGTCCTCATGCCTGGACATGGCTCCTTTTATTCTGAACGACTTCCATATATATATATATATGTATACATGTAGAAAACACCAAGCACCCGTGCGGCTGTTCCAGATGCCGAACCGGAAGCGGTCAACACCTTAACCCAAAACCTCGACCCCTCGACCCCAGAATCTTGCGGTATATCCTTTTATGCCTCAATGTGCTGTCGAGGTCCCTGTCAGCTTTGTGACAACACAGCTCGATCGGAAGACCCTCCAATTCATGGAGTCTGCCGAGGCTCACAACCTAGTCGTAGAATACAGGGGCTTCAACAATTACCTATACCATTTTGGGGTTCCTTATTACAATTGTAGCATAAAGGGCCCCAAACCCTTGGACTCCTGGTCCCAGCAATACGACGCAATGCTTCGACTTCTGCAGTGTATCTGCAGTAAGTTATAGATGTCTTTTATACATATGTATATACGTGTTCGTTGAGGATGCATATGTCGTCCTTTGTTTCGCTCTTCGTCGACAGGCTTTCGCCCGCATCGCCCCAAACCCCTATTCTAATTATTAAGGCCCATATATTACTTCAAGGAAAAAAATTCTCATAGACGCGGTAGCTTGTTCGGGTTTGTATTGCGTCCCCTGCCCTCTTGGCAACTCGAAACTCTAAGCATATTTGTAGATTCACAAAACAGTCGTGCATGCTGAACTGTTGTAACATCAGCAAAGGGGCAAGCTTCGTTATACTGTTGATCCATCCTGCAAGAGGAATAGGAGTCTGGAGTTGTCACAACAGCTGTAACAGCAGTAGCATGCAATCATGCTCGCAGTGAGAAACATGTAACCAAAATCACACAGCAGCCAGTCATAGGAGTCATAAGGGTGCTGCTACCGCCGCTACTAGCACCACTACCACTACCAAGACCACGACCACGACCACTGCTGCCACTGCGACTACTTCTACCACCTACTACTACTTCCGACGACGACTACTACGACGACCTCTACAGCTACAGCTACTATGACAATGACTGACACTCTTGCTACCGTTGGTCACTAGTCATAGTTTCAGATAGAAGACTGGGCTTGCCGACGGGCGGTTTCTGTGCTGAGTTTTCGGCAAGGCTTCGGAGGCTCATGTTCAGGATTTTGGGGGTATTCTAGGGCTTAGGCTTTTAAGCCGTGTCCCTTTTCGGGTTTAGGAAAGTTTTGAAGGCCAATGTGGCAGAGGGAAGCCTGGATTTCAGCGGAAAGCTTGCGCACCACGCTGTCATATCCTACCCTAAGCCGCATGAAGAGACTGCAGGAATACTGAGACCCAAGCGCTGGAGCCTAGCCTTAGACCCTAGACATCATCAAGAGCTTATAGGAACCTGAAACTACCCTAAATCTAAACCCGAATCCTCACCCGCAGGTAGCTGTTCACTATGCCGTTAGCTGGCTGGTCATTGACCTACTAGCAGCTGCTTGGCGGGATACTAGTGAGATCGGTTTAGGGTTCAGGGTATAGATGGAGGAAAGAGAGGCTCCTACACAAATAAACACGCATAAAAAACATGCATGCGCACATATAGACCCAAGCATTCGCACATGTACGTTACTTTATAGGACCCGGGGACTCGCAGTTTCGAAGTTGCGGGGCTTGCAGCTTGAGGTTTCTCGAACAGTTCAGGGTGTAGTAGTAGTAGTAGTAGTAGTAGTAGTAGTAGTAGTAGTAGTAGTAGTAGTAGTAGTAGTAGTAGTAGTACTAGTAGCAGTAGTAGCAGTAGTAGCAGCAGCAGTAGCAGTAGTGGAAGTCATCGTCGTTGTCGCCGTCGTAGCACCAGTAGTTCCAGAAGGGGTAGCAGTAGTGCTAGTAGTTGTAGGAGCTGCAGGGCTGGCAGTGTCATGAGTATCCGAATAGGGCTGAAGTTCGTGGACATTGTATGCATAGTAGTGCCAGCGCACAAGCGCAACCTGCGTTGGGTTATAGCCACACTGCTTCAGGTGTGGCAATGTGGGTGAAAGGTACAAAGGAGTTTTCTGCAATCATAAAAGATCAGTGAGGCTGCAATGTTCACAATGCTCGCGAGAACTGGAATAGCAGAGCCAAAACTAGCAAGAAAAAACAGATCTTTCGTCACAGTGCTACATCGGAATGCAATCTTCGCGATGTTGTAAGTTGACACTGCGCACAGCCTTAACAGGAAGCACAGTATTTCTGCAGCCGTAGGCAGAGTCGGAGGAGTCACTTTAACCTTCAGTCTCCAGAGCTGTAGTTCTCGTAGTAGGCGTATCGATTGTCACAAGGTTCTAATTAAGATAAATCAAAACTGAGAAAAAGTTCTACTTCTAATTCTAATTAAGATAAATCAAAACTGAGAAAAAGTTCCACATCAACAAACTGGACCAACATGCTAGCAGTCGCACTCATGCACTACCAACTCAAGACGACTGTTGCATTTGGCAACCACATGCACACCTGCATTATCAAATTCATTAACAACAGGAGTAACAGTCCTAGTAACAATGTTGCTAAGAAGAGCAGTTGGAAACAAAGATTGTCAGACTGTTTGTAAATTGTAACCATTGTAGGCATATTCATAGAGCGAATCGACCCTGATTGATGCTGATGCGTGAACGCCAGTATAGGAAGGAGACCTATGGGACGACAAATGGACGTCTACCGCAAGCCCTAAAACTTCAAAAGTATTACAAAAACTAGGCCCCAAAAGCTTGAATGAACACTAAATCCTAAAACACTCAACCCTAAGCCCCAAGAAGGAACCCTAAACCCGGAAGGATCGAATTCTTTGCCTGAGGCATGGCCACTAGGTTGGTCAGCGGCACCTCAGTCGGCTCCGTGGCTTGGCCATACATTGATGAGAAGAGGGGTTTAGGTTTCAGAGCTCTCAGGGGTTCCTTAAACCCCTAAACCGCTAAACCCTAAACCCTGTATAAATGGTAAGGGTCACCATGGGGTCTTTCAAGGCTGACGCCCCATTTGACGCTTTGAGGGTCCGGGGTTCAGGCATCTTCAGGGGTAGGCAGGCCTACCTATAGTCTCCGTTGTAGTTCCTTTTTGGGGTTACCTTATAGGATCCTAATTATATAATTGATTAAACCAAAAAAGGAACTACAATGGAGACCATAGGTAGGGTCATCATCTGTTTTTTTTGGGCTGTAATGGAGTATGCAGGTGCCTTTATAGCGAGGTGTTGAAGGGCTTGTGCAAGCACCATGTGGCCTTGATGCAGGGGATGCAGGCTAAACCACTATGCCTTAAACTATGAAATCCGACCTTGAAGATACCCCCAAACCCTTCAATGCTAAACCCCCCATATGCACAGAAACATAGTTCCTGGTCCTGTCCGAAAACGCCGATTTTAGACTCCAGGCTCTTCGAAAACCTTTTACCCTGAACCCTTAAACCCTATATATATATATATATATATATATATATAGATAGATATATATATATATATATATATATATATATATACACACACACCCTAAACCCCTTAACATATGGGCCCCAATAGTGACTAGAACAGGTTTTTTTCAGAGGACTCTCGAATAGGGTCGACGAAAGGAGGCTGCTTGTATGGAGGGTTTAAGGGTCTTGGGTTGAGGGTTCGCGGTTGATGGCTTGGGTTGAGATGAATTGAGACCCTCGCTTCTGTTAGTAGCCTTAGCATCATTATTATTGATATTCTTACCATTGATATTCAGATCATTATTCGTACTGTTCATCTTGTTTTTGTTGTTACTACCTTTAGTTCTGTGGTTATTGCCATTGTTGTGAGTACTGTTCTTATTGTTCTTACTGTCTTTATGGTAATTATTATTATTATTCTTGTTATGATCATGACTGTTCAGCCGAGGTACTTCGTACACAGGCCCTGACCTCAGCTGCGACGATGTGTCTGACCCGCTTAGCCGAAGCCAGGCAACGACATGAACTCGAGCGCTGGGTGAAGGGTTTAGGGTCTACCTGGACCTCATAGAACCCACCTTTTTAGGGTTCCCTAATATGATTTCTTTATATGAGTCCACAAAAAGGTAGGCTATTTGGGGTTAGGGTTAGGTGACCTTCCATCTCTCATCTCTCCCTCCTTCCGCTGACGTTCCCTCCCCTCCGTGCCGTCTTCCTTTCCCTTCCCCCTTGAAACCCTCAAACCCTGAAGCCTTAGAAAAGGGAGTTTCCGAAAATAGGCGACCCTAATATAGTACCCTAAATAGTAGGATCCTTACTATAAGGACCCCCACATAAGGTACCCCCTATTTTCGGAAACTCCCATATCCTGAAGCCCCACACCCAAGCCACGGTCTCCTTCGGTGCAGCGTTTCGTGCGTTAGAGGTTAAGGTTTGCGGGATTCCGGCACGCTTTCGGGCCTTCAGGGTTAAGTTTTGAGCTTTTAGGCTTCCGGCTCAGTAAGCAATGAGCTTCGAAGGGTTGAGGGTTCACAGTTTGGCGGTGAGCCGCAAGATCCCTCAATTTCCGCGCCTGCTCAGGGCGATAAAGCTGGTGAAGATTCTAAAGCTCCGCTACTTCGTGCCCCGCCTGGAGGATCAGATTCAGCCACTTGGAGGAGTTTATTTATGGTAGTAGTACTCTGACTGATATTATGGTTTCTACATCCCCTCCTCCTGCTCCTCCTCTTCCCCCTCCTTTTACGCCGAATAGTTTGAGGTCTGTGCAGTTATGATTGCTCTTATGAAGACTGAAGAGTCCCCCGAACCAACACCTTAAGCTTACACATTGGCAAGCGCGAAACCACCGCTCTTCAACCCTGAGCCCGCAACCCTACCGAATTCCAAACCCTCAAGTCTCACAAAGGCCTATAACTCCTAAAATCTCAAGCCGCAGACCCTCACCCTCCTACACCCTGAAGCCCCAACCAGAAGCCCTACACCCAAAGCCATCGGCCCCAAGCCTTCTCAAGCCCGGGCAACCGGAACCTTCAGCTTGCGAAAGAGCCGACATTGGCTTCGAACAATTAGACATAGGATTTTGTGCTTAGGGTTTTAGGGTTTGGGGTTTTGGCATATAGTGTGCCATAGCTACAACAGAATAAGGAGCCCTATGAAGTAGTATTGATTTCTATTCAAGCTTCCATGCTGGAAGCCTCAGTGGTTGCGAAAATTATTCCTGGTTGTTCTTCGACTACAATGGGAGGAGCCCACAACACGGGAACTTCTGGGGTGACAGAAGTATCGGACTTGAAAGGTCATGGTCGACTCACTAGTCATAGCAACTGCAGTGGAGGAACTTTAAACCCTGAAGCCTCAATACTGGGAAATGACTACCTTATTCTGGGGTCCTTATAATAAGGATCCTACTGTTTAGGGTGCTATACTAGGGCCCCTATTCTCGGAAACTCCCATATGAGATCCAATGAAGAAGCTCAGGAATCACAAGCTGCCGCGACCTGAGACAGGTGACTGGAGAGGACCGCCTTTGCAATAAGCTAACAGCAGTGAAATGCAATTTGCTGTATTTCGACGTTTAAAGCATGGAGTACGAGGCTGCAGACATCGTCAGAAAGATCTTAGGGGGTTTCGGGGCTTAGAGTATAGGGTTTAGGAGGATGCAGGATTTGAACAATCTGGATGTCGGCTCGTTTCTTGGGTTTCAAGGACGAAGGCAATTACAGTATGCCTTGCGTGAGCAGTTGGAGTACTTGCGCAGTCTTCTCTCAATTCATTGCTTGCCTCTTCGAGAGGAAAAGTGTTTATGCGGGCCGATTGCTTTGCTGATGTCAGGGCTGTTGGTCTCCAAATCCACTTTCGTATCTCTGGAGCTGGAAAGCCCACAGCCTAGTGCCAAAGCTGAAGTCAGACTCCTCTGAGTCTGAAGAGGCACACCTGTAACACCTACACTCGATTCATCGCCATGTTCCAGCACCGTCATAGCGGCGGTGGAGCCGCTGGAGGCAGTGGTGGTGGCAGTGCAAGTGTTAGATGGTGGAAGTCGTGGTGGTGCTGGCGTTGGTTTCGGTGGTGGTGCTCTTGGTGGTGCTGGGGGTGGCGGTGATTGGTGGTGATTGTGAGAGTAGGGGGGGGTGGCTAAACCTCCTAAAACCCTAAAGTCTAAACCCCCAGCCCCAACCCTAACCCCTAACCCCTGACCCCTGAACCCGGATACCCTACACCCTAAACCGAAGACCTGCAGCCTTAAACCCCGCAGACCCAGGTCTTGGCTGAAGATGTCGGGAGCCATGCTGCTGCTTGTCCATTCGAGGCATGGCAGCACGGAGCCGAAGAGCGCAGGGCATAGGGCTCTGAGGGTTTAGGACATACGGGTAGCATGGGTGTGTAGGGTTTAGGGCTTAAGGGCTAAGGGGTCAAGGGTTCAAGGGTTTAGGATTTACCTTAACCCTAAATAACCTACCTTTTTAACGACTTATATAAGGAAATCATAATAAGGAACCCTAAAAAGGTAGGTTCTTCCGGGTTAAGGTAGGGCTTAGGGTCTAAGTCTAGGGTCCAGGCTTCGGGGATGCTTTAAGAAAGGGTGCAGAGTCGAGTTCCGAGGGGCGTGAGGAAGCCAGGCCCCAGTTGGGCTTCGGGTTAAAGGGCTTTAGGGTTTAGGGTTTAGGGTTTATGGTTTAGGGTTTAGGGGTTTAAGGGGGTGTAGGTTTTATGGCTTTGGGGTTTGGGGTTTAGGGTTTATGCAGGCGGTCTTGGGACAATCCAGAAGCGAACCTCTGTACTGTCTCCAGAGCACACCGAAATCCTTTAGCATTCAAGGACCAGGGACGTGCCGTGCACTTGGCGAATAAACCTTACCAAGAGCCTTCCGAAATGGTGCCGCAGCTTGAAATGACTGTAACGCCCGAATTGAAACAATATCACAGGACGCCACAGGCCTCATGCATAAAGATTGCACGGGGAAAGGGTTCTTCACAGTTGGGATGGGTGCCTGAAACCCTAAACCCTAAACCCTTAACCCTTAACCCTAAACCCTTAACCCTTAACCCTTAACCCTAAACCCTTAACCCTAAACCCTAAACCCTTAACCCTAAACCCTAAACCCTAAACCCTTAACCCTTAACCCTTAACCCTAAACCCTAAACCCTAAACCCTGTGTCTGAGGGATTGGGGTGCTCAGAGCACGGGGGGTCGGAGCAGCGAATCCCGAAGTCAACCTTTCCTCACGCCACGTTTGGTCGTTCTGGTGTACCCGTACCCCAAAAGTATGTGGAATAACGGCCTTTCCAGGCTGTGGGCTATTGTTTTACCAATTTTTTGGGGGTTTAGGTTAAAATGAATCGACATGTTGACCGGGGAGTTCAGCTTCAGAGCTTTGTGTCTACGGCTTTGCAAAAAAGAAACGCCCAATCCCGAAACACAAGCACCTAAGACGACACCCCAAGAGCTGGGGCTTACAGGGGCGTTGGTTTTCCGAAGTTGGCGTTCAGCATTCAAGGAAATTCAAATTCAAGGCACCAACTCTCAGACAGGACCATGAGAGCTTTTGCTATGAACCAGCCTTCTTAGGGCCCTAAGGCAGCCACGCAGCCTAAGCCTAAGCTTTCAATCCCAAACTCTGTCCGAAAGTGGCGGCTTGGGTTCAGTCCCGGTTACAGCAAACTAGTGTCTGAACATACGCTGTCCTAGTCTCTTGTAGCGAGTGCTGCAGGCGGTGTAAGCGGTATTTCCCGCATCGAGCCCCTTAGCCCGAACCGCTCTGGCCCGGAACACGCTTCCGGTGCTTAGGTTGGGCTGTGCATGGTACTGCGTCCGGAACAGCCTCATCTACCCCGGCCAGAGTGGCGATGCAGACGACTACGTGGCGGACATCTATTTCGCCCCAGCCCCGGAGGAGTTGATGCGGTCCAACCCTAAACCCTGAAACCCCGAATCCGAGACTCGAAAGTCAAGAAGTTCAAGCCCCAAACCCAGCAAGCCTTAACACCACAGGACATGGCGCTCAAGCCTTCGCCGCGACACCGGAAACCTTAGATCTGAAAAGACCCCAAACTCCTAGACCTGCGCCCCAACACGCATCTGAGGGTCTAATATACTCAAGGGTAATAGGAATAGTAATGATAAGGGTAATAGTAGTAGTCATGATAAGGGTTATAGTAATGATAAGGGTAAAGTACTGGCATCGTATCAATGTCTAGTAGTAGCACTAGAGAGCATGAGCATGATGTTAGTGCTAAGTTTGCAGGTTTGAGGAAGCAGAGGTTTAGGACCCGAGGGGTTGGCATCTAAACAAGCCTTTAGTTTGTGTCGCCTCTCGAGTACCTTTGGCTTGTCTCCTCGTGGTGCACGGAGTAGGAGCCCAAGCGTTTGGTCTTCTTGGAACGAGTGATTGGGAGTGATGCTGAAACTTTGTTCAAGAAAGCCCGAAAACCTACTAAACACCCCGGCCCCCCTAAACCCAAACGCGAAACCCAAAGCCCTACTGTAGGGGCCTAAATCATTACCAACTCCATTTTTTTTTTTTTTTTTTGGGGGGGGGGGGGGGGGGGGGCGGGTCCTGATGATGATGATGATGATGAATGAACCCTACTCGAATTGTTAAGGCCCCGACGTTACAACCCTAAAGCCTCGAAACCCAGGTTGTCATGGCTTTGACGAGCGTCGGCTTCGGCGATATCGTTCCCATAGGATCAGGACTCCTCGGGTTTGAGGGGGGTTTAGGTTGGGTACGGCACCCCCTCAGTAATAGTCGAATACTATCCATAATATAGATATAGTAGGACCTTGGTAGTAGCCCCATTATAGACTCTTACTGCACGGGGGCCGTGCCTAAGGTTTAGGGGTTTGAGGTTTTACGGGTCATCGGTTTTGGGAGTCGGAAGTTTGGGGTTGAAGGATTTAGGGTTCAGGTGCTTTCGGTCTTAAGCCTAAACCCTAAACCCTAAACCCCTTAACCCTAAACCCTAAACCCCTAAACCCTAAACCCTAACCCTTCAAAAAAAACCCCTAAACCCTAAAAGGTTTGGGTAGTTTAGGGATTTCGAGGCTCTGGGTTTCAGGGTGAAAAGATCAAGGCTCGGGGCATCAGTGTCTGGGGTCTACCAGGATCTGGTTCAGGGTTTAGGATCTAGGGTTTAGGGTTTAGAGTTTAGGGTTCAGGGTTTAGGGTTTAGAGTTTAGGGTTCAGGGTTTAGGGTTTAGAGTTTAGGGTTCAGGGTTTAGGATTTAGGGTTTAGGGTTTAGAGTTTAGGGTTCAGGGTTTAGGGTTTAGGGTTTAGGATTTAGGGTTTAGGGTTTAGGGTTTAGAGTTTAGGGTTCAGGGTTTAGGGTTTAGGGTTTCGGGTTTAGGGTTTCGGGTTTAGGTCTGAGCTGCAGATTAGAACGTAGGGCTCAGGTGAATGATGTTCATGGTTGTCCGTCGCGTATCGACCCACTACAACTGAGCGCGAGGACTGTGCATGACGACGGCGCTCGGATGTGAAACCGCAAATTCAGAAAACAAAAACATGGAGGACGGTCTTAAAGACCCGAAAACCTATACACCCCAAATCCCTATAGTAGCCTTTGCAGGACCCTTTCAAAAAGCACACGGGTATTTGAAGGAGCGCGGTTGTACTGCATCATGGTCATGCTGGCCTCCTCGCTTTTCTCGGGGGTCCTCGTCGCCTTCGTCGCTCAGGCCGACAGTGGGGCCGGAGAGGCTTGGGGAGTTGGGGTTTAAGGTTTAGGGGAGTGGGGCTTTAGGGTGACTGAAGAGCAGGCTTTTTTGAGGATTTGGGTCTCAAGATCAGGTGCACGCATCCACACAGTAACCGCAACATAGCATCGTGTAAGCTCCCATAATGACATAAGGTCTTTGAACTTTCATGCCCCCCATTCCCCGAAAGAGACTGCGGTGAGTTCTTCTGACTCTCGTGATGGTTTCTGCTGATCATGTTCTTTGTTAGTTTTCGGTTTCCCACGTGACTGCTCAAGAGGTTGCAGGCCACAGTCCTTTCGGAGCTTCGCCGATCATTGACACGTCCTCCACCAGATGCCATCTGTGACGCATCTTGTAGTAGAGATCGTATTCTCGTTGCCCTCCGTGCTTCGTCAAGACTGAGGATTTACCGCTGTTGCCTTCACCCGTGGCTTCAATCCTGCCCACGTCGTTTCCCATTTTGCGTTGTCCACAAGCCTGTAATGTTTGGCTTCCCATTGTTCCCGCGCGTCTGTGCTGCTGCCTACCCGCGGCGCCCATCTTTCCACAACGTGTTGTGTTGTCAGTGTCTGACACCTGCTAACCTTGCCGTTGTCAACACTACTGGTATGGTTCACTTCATAGCTAAAAATTAGTATGCATGGATTTTCCTAAGCCCTGGGCTCGTAAAGCTTGAGGGGTCTAGGGTTCTCTGTAAACTTTGACTCTAAACCGTAAGCCAACGCTCTGAACCAGTCTCTCCGCACCGTCTTCGACGACGAGGTGGAGAAATACGTTGGGAGCTCAGCTTTTGTTCTTGAGCCTGTTTTTTCTTGCACAGGGAACTTCCAGGGCTTAGGAGTTTTTTTCAGTTTGGGGTATGCGCCTAGATCGGAAGCCTCATGTCAGTCAGATACCCTGCGTGCCAGGGTTTAGGATAGCTTAGACTCGTCCAACTCAGCAGCACAGTCGCACCGGAGCGCCTGGGCCAGTGGAGTTGGCACTAAAATGGAGCAGAGCTTTTTGATCGGGTTTTAGGTGCGTCATACATGCAGCAGCGACAAAACCAGAGAGTCTGGGAGAGCATCCGTTTTGCAGTGGTCACCACCTCCCACCAGTCGTGGTCGTAGTCGTAGTCGTAGTCGTAGTAGTAGCAGTAGCAGTAGCAGTAGCAGTAGCAGTAGCAGTAGCAGTAGTAGTAGTAGTAGTAGTAGTAGTAGTAGTAGTAGTAGTAGTAGTAGTAGTAGTAGTAGTAGTAGTAGTAGTAGTAGTAGTAGTACTAGTATCATTAAGCCCCAAAGTTTTGCTTGCCAAGGTCTGGCAAGCATCGGAGTTCATGCGAAAGCGGAAGGCCTTTGGCGGGTTCGCAGTGCGCTGAATATGAGACATTGAGCTTCAGAGAGAGCATTGATGAGTTTGGGGGTTTAGGGGGTTTGAGGGTTTAGGGCTCTGGGCTTTAGGGATCTGGGGCTTGAGGGTTTCAGGCTGGAGGGCTTATGGCTTCGTGTTATAGGGTTCGAGGTTTCATGGTTTAGGATTCGATTGTTTAAAGTTCACGGCCTGGGAGTAAGGGTTGACATCCTGAATGCTATTACGGTCTTGTAGGCAACCAGTCAAAAAAAAAAGCATATCACGTGTGCACGGGCGCTTCCGAACGGCGGGTTATGCTAGACTGCTAGTAGCTAGAACTAGTGAAACTACTGTTCGTGCATTGCATAGAAATCTCGCTCTTTGCATGGGTCCTGAACCCCAAGCCCTTAAACCCTTAACCCCTATTCGCATGATTTTTATTAGCATGTTTTGACTACTACTATTCTCACTGCTATTACTATCGTTGCTGTCATTACCACCATCTCCTCGACTACGAGGACGACGATTACTATATACTCCTACTGCGACGACTGCCACTACCACTGCTATCGCTGCGACGACTGCTACCACTACCACCACTATGGCTACAAAAACTACTACCACTACCAGCATCACCACCACCACAACAACAACTGCTACAACAATTACTACCACTACAACGATGACGACTACTGCTGCTGCTGCTGTTGCTGCTGCTGCTGCTGCTGTTGCTGCTACTGCTACTGCTACTGCTACTACTACTACTACTACTACTACTACTACTACTACTACTACTCCTTCTCCTCCTCCTCCTGCTGCTGCTGCTCGTTAGATTCTTACTTTTACGATTATGCCTTGTACTATTCTTCTATCATTTCGAGCAGCATTGCAGTTCTTCTTTTGAAGCCTCCTGCAAGGGGAACCCCAAGCCCAAGCCAACTCGCCGCGATGCATCAAGCTTCAGCGCCATGCCCTCGGGCTTCGCCTGGCACCCTGAACCCCTGCTCCCCGGGAGCCTTCAACACGAAGCCCCCTAACCCGAAACCTTGAATCCGAAGCCCTAAATCTTAAACCCTATACCCGAAGCTCCTTAAATCCCACACCCCGAACCCGAAGGTGCCTTCAGATTTGCAGAAGCGTGTGGAGCACGGCTTGCGTCAAAAGTTCCAACAGGCCCCATGTGCCTTCAATCACAGGGCTTATGTGCCTTTTGGATTTAGGGCTCAGGGTTTTTAGGCAATCAGGGTTCGGGATTTGGGGTTGTAAGGTTTGCTATTGGAGGTCCTAGCTTCTGTGGTTGATCCTGACGGGCGAACCTCAAATCCCAAGTTGCCAAAGCCACTTGCCCTAAACGCTCCACCGAGTCGCCGAGCCCGAAAAATGGAATGGATTCAATACTACTATTTGCTTAAGAACCCCCCCCCAAAAATAAAAAAATATATTCCTTATGGGGGTAATATAGGGATTATTATTTTTATTTTTTGGGGGTTTCTTAAGCAAATAGTAGAATAGCACATCGGTCAGACTGCCAGAAGTTCCTGATTCAATAGTTGGAGTTCTGCGTCGTGGTATGCATATCAGGACAGCCGGACAGAAATGTTTTTTCGCCAAACCAAGACTCAAGCAATGACGGCAACTGTCAATGCCCAGTCATGGAATGCACGACTTCGGGTAGCTCAGAGAAATTGTGCTGCCAAACTGTCAGACTTAGGGTTACATCGGTATTACTAATATCATCATTGCTCTTATTACTACATGTTATTTTGCATACAACAAGCAACAACATCAACAACAGCAACAGCAACAACAACAGCAGCAGCAACAACAACAACGACTACAACTCCAACTACCAGACTACCACAACTACCACCACCACAACAACAACAACAACTACTACTACTACCACTACTACTACTACTACTACTACTACTACTACTACTACTACTACTACTACTACTACTACTACTACTACTACCACTACTATTATTTGCAGTAGATTTGGCCTCTACAAGCTGGCATGGAACCCTCACAACACCAGATTTGTTATTCACACGTGACCTTGTTGTTACCACGGTTCTTATTGTCATCATTACTGTCATTACTATTGTTGATATTATCATTGCTATATTTTGCACCCTGCGCAGCATCAGCCTGCATGGCGGCACCAGGAGCTGAGCCTTTCTGTGGCTCCGAAGATATTGTCCAATCTGTCGCCGTACCTTGGCCGCTTTAGAGTTTCGGGGTTAAGGTTTATGATTTTTGCGGGCGTGTTTGTGTGTTCCCGCGAGTGTGTGTGTGTGTGTGTGTGTGTGTGCGCATGCGCCTGATCTAGCAACTATGGCTCGCAGGTTCTTGCTGTTGGAGCTGCTTCATTTTCTTTGCGCCAAACTTCATTCCCGTGCGAAGCACCAGAGCCCCACGCAGCGCTGTAACCTCAAAGCTCTGGCTTTAGGGGTTCTCGGGCAACAACAGGGTTTTGGGCTTGTTGCCCGAGAAGGCTTCCCATCAACAGCTCTGTAAGCTTTGGGTCTTGGCGTTTTCATAGAGAGCTGCCCTGCGGCTTCGGGACCATCGAGTATCGGAATAAGTCGTAACTTTATCGTATAGTCGGTTGTATGGAAACCTCCATGCCCTGCACATGAGGAGCAAGCCTAAAACCGAAGCCTGCAGCAATCCAGCGTGGGACGAAGCATTCACTCTCTCCGAAGTCTCCAAGCGGCAATTTCGCCAGAAAGCCTTTTTATGCCTGAAGCTCGAAATGCCGAAAGCTTTCTCATCTGTCTTACTGTTAGCCAGACCTTTAACTCTTCCACGCTGAACCCTAAAGCTTAAATCCTAAGACTCCAAGCCCTCAGCCTCAAGCCCAAACCCCTAAACCCTGAACCCTAAGCCCTGAATCCTATACCCTAAACATATATACCTATGTATACTTAAACCCTATAGCCTTCGTTCAGCAGGTCCAGCCAGCGGGAGCTCGCTTTAGAGTTGCTCCGATCGGCGGTTATGGCTTTCCCTGTTTTCCAGGATCCGGCCCAGGGCATTTAGACTTTGGGGTTTAAGGTTTAGGGGTTTAGGCTTAGTGGTTTAGGGTTTAATTAGCGTTTAGGGTTGAGGGTTTGTTCGGACTCTTAAGACCTTTCGATAGGATTAGGGTTTAGGGTCTAGTTTTTAGTCTACGCTTTGCAATTTACGGCGGACTGTTCAGGGTTGAAGTCGATGCAAGTCAATAGTTGACAGGCACTGCATGTTGCATTCTGATGTGGGCTCCCTGTCCACTTATCATCGGATAAGGAGATAATATGAGGGATATGTAGTGTCTAATTTACCCTGCGAGCGCTGAAGGCCTTATTCCGAGTGGTAATATAAGTACGGTACAATATATCTAAACACCGACACCTAGACTGACTATGGGGGCCCATTTGTCCCCCGAATATCCGCGACCTCTACCAGCTCAAAGCTGAGGCCCCCAAGACCTATATGCACCCTGCAAAAGTCTTGCCTTCTTTTCGGGTCTGGGGTTTACGGTTTCTGAGCCCTGCAGCCGCTGAACCACCCAGATTTCGGTTTGCTAAGCCTGGAGAACACCCTAGAGCTCAGCTGGAACCCCTGAAAACCCTCCAAGCCCTAAACCTCGCAACCCTGAGCCCTCAAACACTAGACACGAAACCTGAAACCCTCAAAGCCTGAAGTAGAGCGCCTAGAAGAGCACTCTGAGAGCCGAAAGCAGAAACAAGCCCAGCAGCCTTATCAAGCCCTGCATTAAATTTCGCACAAATTCCTCTGGAGCCCCCACCAACCGCTGTCAAATGCACCCCGCATGAAAACCTTATGAACCAACCAAGCAACGAGCTCCTCCGTTTTTTCGGGCGCAGGAAGCCCCAGAAGGTTTTGTGAGTCAGCAACATGGCTCGATCGTGGAGTGTAAGGTTGAAGGTTTAGGTTCTCATAGGGGTACTTAGAAATAGCTTTTAATTATTGGTTATTATAATCCCGAAGAGACAGCTAAAATTGTAATTTTTGCCAGGGTTCTAAGTTCAGTATAGTTCTGGGTTTTAAGGTGTTACGAGTGCTGTAAGGGTTCCGGGGTTTCATATTGCTTTGATCAGGGATTAAAGTTTTACGGTTTTGGTGTGAGTTTAGGGTGCGTGCAGGTTTTTTTCTGCAACACAAGGGCCCGCATAGCTGGCAGTATTCCTCGGTGTTCCCCTCTTCCATTACAGAATGCGTTTGAATATGCAGGCTTCCATGTTAGATTCTGCAGATGATTTGTTTTTTGTGGCAGCTGAGGTCTTATAAGGCTTCGGGATCTAAGTTTGGGGCGACATTTTCGGAATCATTCGGCCCGGTCGGGTGTTTGGGGCGGTGTTTTGCGAAATCCGCCGAAGCGCTTCGGTCTCCTCGGGGGTTCGGGGGGCCGGGATGAGTGCCTACTGGCTGTCGCATTTCTGTGCCAGGGCTTGGCTGCTTTGATTTTGTCTGGTGTTTAGGGTTTAGGGTTTTTGTTTAGGGTTTTGTTTAGGGTTTAGGGTTTTGTTTAGGGTTTAGGGTTTTGTTTAGGGTTTAGGGTTTTGTTTAGGGTTTAGGGTTTTGTTTAGGGTTTAGGGTTTTGTTTAGGGTTTAGGGTTTTGTTTAGGGTTTAGGGTTTCGTTTAGGGTTTAGGGTTGCGAGTTTAGGGGGGCTTCGTGGGCTTGTAAGACTGACGCCGCTAGGGCTTTGAGAGCTCGTAGTCCGCGCATGCGCGCAGGGGGTACAGGGGTTTGAGGCGTTGGATGGCGGGTGCAGTCTGAGCGGGTGTGGGTGGGTATGTAGGTGCCTTCCGGGTTGTGGAATGGGCTCAGGGTTATGTGATCAGGCTTTAAAACCCTAAAAAGCAGGAAATCAGTGCCCAAACTCCGTGGTTGACACCCAGAACTTTAACTTGCTAAGTCCCCTTCACATTCACAGCCCTGCACCACCCGAACCTTACAAGCCTCCAGATTCAAACTGCGAGCCTGCGGCAAAGCTTGTTTCAAGATTCAGAAATTTCAGGTATCTTAATGTAAACTCCCGAAGTGGACTCGCGTGGGAGTGGCCCCTAGACCCTTTTGAGCCAAGGCTGGCATCAGCATTTAATTGGGTCTTGGCCTCGGCCGGCTATTTGCTTTTTCGGCTTTGGGGATTTAGGCCTTCTTGGGGTTTCCATGTGTAGGGCTGTGGGTGCATCGGGTTTCAGCTTACCTGTCGAAGATGAGCTGCAGGCAGTCCAATCGGACACATAGATACTAATTCCACATAAGCAAAGCGGTATATAAATGTGTATATATGTATGTATGCATACATATATCTATATCTATATCTATATCTATATATATATATATATATATATATATACACACACGTGCATACGCGAACACACATTTGCATGTAATAGGTCTGTATGTATGTATGTGTGTATGTATGTATGTATGTTTGTTTGTTTGTTGGTACGTATGTATGTTTGTTTGTATGCGTGTTTGTTCGTATGTATGTTTGTGCATATGCACGTATGTATAGGTATGTAAATGTACGTATGCATGTATGTAGGTATGTAATGTGTGATGTCTACCTCTGTAGAAACATGTGTGTATGTACACACATATTGTGATGCACATCCTGGGCCTGTAGTCATATCCTCGAGCAACTTGAGCTTCGGACGGTTTAAGTCAGAGTCCAGTCGCGGTACGTGTAGGTGGATGCACTAGACATCTCTCCGCCTCACGCTTCATAGCCTCACCCTAAACCCTAAAGCCCCGCCCCATCCATCATCCTTTCGTTTACTGCGGTGGTCGTCCAAGGTGTGTCAGCCTTCGGGTTGCCCTTAGACGTGTTCTTACTTCAGGTCCCCGTTGTTCAGGAGAAACGCTTGTTCTGCGTATCCAAGCCACGAGGTACCATACAGGCTATTGCGGCAGTAGATTTCGCCAGGTAAGCAAGAAAGGCTGGAGAAGGCCAGGTTAGAGGACTCACGGTCTCAGTGTTTCCAGGTCCAGATGTTTTCGCATGCATGCTGCTCGTCATATTGATGGTGCCATGCTGCAAGGGGGAACCGAGCGCTTTTTTACGCGTATGCTAGACGTCCCAAATCTTCTCAAACCACGACAGCAGCGGCAAGCCCATGACAATTCTTCTCTTGAAGCAATGAGACCATCAAAAAAACTGCAGCGGAACTTGATAGTTCTGGTGTGCAAAAATCTGTGCAGCCTTGAAAACAACGTTAATATGCTGCATAGCTGGAGTGTGGCATAGAGACTCGAGCCCTGCAGTCGAACTTTAAACAGCCGCTCGTGTCCTTGCTTGATTGCTAACTCTGATGTTGAACTCCGCTTCTCCTTGCCGTCGCCGTATTCATGCAACTCCTCTATCATTGCTGCCTCGGGATGCTTGTCGTTACCATTGCTGTTGCTGCAGTCGCCGTCGCTCGGTGCTCGTGCTGATGACTAAGTTAAACTGGTGCTGATGATGACGACGATGATGGTGACGACGGTGACGTCGTTGTTGTTGCTGTTGTAATTGTTGATGCTAATCATCGGCATCGTGGTGCTTCCGGTGGTTGCTTTCGCTTCAAATTTGTGCAATTGGTTGCGGTGGTGATGGTGCAGTTGTCGGTGTGAGAGGTTTCCGGAGAACAAGCGCTTGCACCACCCTGAACCTAAAGACGGCCCTGCATGATTCTGCCCGCAGTCGGTCATGGTTACCAACATGCCCATTGTCATGAGCTGGTCATGAGGTTCGGTACCGGCATCCTTCTGTTGAACTGGTATTTCTGCTGTTGTGTGTCGGCTGTTGGTGCGACTGTCCATATCTTGGTGTCCGGGCTTCTTGGTGCTTGCTTCCCCGAGGTCCAATCCCTTGCTGGTGATCTCGTCGTTGAGGCATGAGACGAGGGTCACACAGAGCCTTAAAATCCTAAACCCCCCGAACCTTGAACTTGAAACTCCTAAGCCCCCCAAACCCTGAAACTTAAAATCCCACACCCCCGACATGATGTTTCCGTGGTGCAGCGGGGCTACGACGATTGAAGCGGAAGGGACGAAGCACAGCAGAGTATTTTCACTGGACATTGTATTGTGGCTTGGGTTTTAGGGTTTAGGGGTTAGGGTTTAGCTTTTAGGGCCGGCGGAAATCAGGGATGTACATCGGTTGTAGGGGTCCCTCTGAGGATCCTGCCATCCGAAGCGTTGAACAGGTCCACATGCCGTCATATGGGGAGACGAATGCGACTTGTAGTTACTTGCAAAGGGCGGGGGGGGTCTATGTCGAGAGCAGCATCGAGAATCCTCGAACTAGACTTCAAACTGTGCCTTCCTGTAGGTAGAAGGAGTAGAGGTATCAGCAACAGCGTTGCTGCCGCTGTTGTCGACTTTTTTGTAGGGTCCGGAGGAATCTTAAGGCACGCAAGCCTGTGTTTTAGACGAAGAAGCTGGCTTTCTCGCAAAGGCTAGAGAACCATGACAGTCAGAAACCCGGAACCTTAAACTCAGCACTGAATCCCAGGCTCCTGCACCCAAGGTAACCCTAAACCCCTAAACTCTAAACCCTAAACCCCTAAACTCTAAACTCTAAACTGCCATGCCAGGAAGGACAGCTTGAAGAAGAGCTTGTCTTTGTCATCGAAGGCCTGCTTCTAAGGGGCTTGGGCGCGAAGCCCCCCCAAAGAGGGTTTGGGTTTAAGGTTTATTTGCCTGAATCATAGTATCCAAGGGGTCCTTAATATTGTTCTGTTGTACCATAGTGCACGCAAATATACTAGTCACCGGTCCTTAATATCGTCCTTCACGAGGCGCCCCAACAATACTGTTCTTAGAGTTCCTAAAAATGTGCCCCTAAATACCTAGCCGTACCACAGCATGCCCCAAAATCTTGCGGTTCTTCACCGACTTGTGGGCCCAGAGCCCCAGCCTAATCATTCAGGCGCCTGTTGGGGCTTGGGGCTTCAGGGTTCAGAGGATGTATTGCTTGTTGGATTGCGGGCTTAAGGTTTTCAGAACGTCCTGTGGGTTCTACGGTTTGGGATCTCCTTAGGGGGTTAGGGGCGAAAGGTTTCAGCAAGGGTTTCTGAGGTTTACGGTGCAAGTTGCAGGGTTCAGGGCGCCGGCAGCCTTTGAATTTGAGGTCAAGGCTCAGGGCTAATTCGGGATTCAGTCACTCCCTGATCCTTAACCCTAAGCTCTACTGAACATGTGTTTCTCAACATCCTGATAAGGTGGCGAGAAATTGATGTCGCCCGTCTGACAGTGCCTAAACTTCCTGCGCCCTTCACGAAAGGGTCTAAAGTAAAAGCCAGAAAGTTGGAATATGATTATCCGAAGCCCTTTATGGTAAACTACAAGGTATCCTACCATTAATCCATATTCCAACTTTCTGGAGTCCCCTTTAATTGTTTAGGACACATGGCGGCTTTCCGCTCCTGCGCCGCCTTTGTGGGATGTATGGGGCTCCCAAACCCCTAAAAGGGAGGTAAGACCAAATCCAGTATGAAGGCCGAGGAGGACGTGGCCATGCAACTCTGAAGCTCGTAACCTCTGAATCCCTGAACCTGAGGCTTCGAAACCCACACCTGAAACCGGAATCCTAAAGCTCTTTCAAGCCGCAAGTCTCTAAATCCTGGTCCTGAACCCCTTTAAATTTCCTGAAGCCGGAATGGTAAAGCTCTTTCAAGCAAAGCTCTAAATCAAGAACCCCTTTGTCCTTGCAACCCCTACTACAGTTTAAGTCTGATCTGCACCCAAACCCTAGTCCGGTAAGACCCATGTCATGCCGAGCGAACATGGAAGCCTTTCTTTAAGGCTTCTGGTACAGGACTCGTTGTCCTAAGGGTTGTGGCCCCGGAAACCTACAGAATCCAAACCTCGGGTTTTTGGCAGGCTCTGAAGGGACCCAAAGGCTTTTCTAGCGTAGTTTTGCGGGAGGTTTTCAAGTTCAGGGTCTAGGGCTGAGGAAGTTTAGGGTTGAGGGAGCCAAAGGTTTAGGGTTTAGGTTCAGCGTATGGTATTTGGTTGCGCGAAGGCCCAGTATTTGGGTCCTCAGCAAAACCCCATATAAGCCATGAACCAAAAGAGCCCTTCATCCCGAAAATCCCTTTGGTTCGAAGAGCCGTAGGCACAACATGGAAACCCTTAACCCCAAGGCTCTAAGCCCCAAGACATAACAGAGCACGCACGAAAGAAACACCCATGTAAGCCCCTGAACCCCTCTAAACCCTAAACTCGAAAGCCTGGGTAGGTATAAGTGTAGTTATGGGAGTTCCCGAAATTAGGGGTACCTTATTTGGGGGTCCTTATAATAAGGATCCTACTACCTAGGGTACTATATTAGGGTCCCCCTATTTTCGGAAACTCCCTTATAACTCCCCTAATAGGGGTCATAACTATAGTTACTCGGCCAGCAGGAACCCTCCTGAAGCTCCAGTCGGCGACAGAGGAGGAACTGGAAGCACTCGGGGAGGACAGCTCGGAGGAGGATGAGGCGCCTTTAAGGGGTTTTGGATTCAAGGATCTAGGGTATGGGGTTTAGGGTTCAGGGTTTGGGGTTTAGGGTTTAGGGTTCAGGGTTTAGGAAGTTTAGGGTTTAGGTTTTTGGACTACTGCTTCTGCTGCTAGTTCTCTCTCTCACCTCTCTCTTTGTCTATCTCTCCCCCTACCTCCTACCTATTTGCCTACCTACATCTTTCTACCTATCTAGTTATCTTCTCGTCTATCCACCTGTATTTCTGTCTGTCTATTTTCTGTGTTTCTATGTATTCATCGAGCTACCTCCTGCGCTAATTCTGGCCCATTCCGTGATGCATGCTCAGCTCGCGACATCCTGGCCTGCCACTGCCGCAAGCTGTGCGCCCTAAACCCCCTAAACCCCCTAAACCCTAAACCATGAGCCCATATCCCAAACCCCCCCCTAAAGCCTTCCACGCTCTGAACCATAAGCGAAGAAACCCTAAGTCGTAAACACCCTGAAGAAAAAGAGGCCATAAACCAAAAAACCCTGAAGACTAAAACTCTAAACCCTAACCTTTTTTTGCATTTCCCAACGCCTAGGTTGAGAGCGCCAAGGCCCGAGACAACGTTTTGCAAAATCAGGAACAGTACGACCGGGGAGCCTGAGAATAATTAGGAACAACCTTGTTGCTAGGTAGACTTATAAGTACCCTAAAAGGGATCCTAGTTGGGGTTATGGTACTCATAAGTCCCTAAATAACCATGATAATGAGGAACAAGCATGTTGAGGGTTTTTACTGTTTAGTTGGGTTTAAAGTAAAAGCCAGAAAATTGGAATATGATTACCTTAAACCTTTTATGGTAAATTATAAGGTATCCTACCCTGAAACCATATTCCAACTTTCTGGAGTTCCCTTCAAGATGACAGGATTCTGTGGAGTTCGATGGCATCAAGAAGATGGAGATGGGCCGAGGGGCCTGGCAGCTCAAGCTGCATTTGATGAATATTCATATTAATTTAACACAAATACTAATAATAGTATTAGTATTTGTATTTATGTTAATATTTTTATTCATATGAGGAGTTTTGGGTTGAGGGTTCGGGGCTTAGGATTCAAACTTAGGGGTTAGGGCGGTTAGGGTTTTTACTTTTTTCGTCACGCTTCGACCCACTGCAGTACACCAGCCATTCTTCGTTGTTCGCACGCCGCGCTCGCAAGCCCTCCGCCGTGAATGAGGGAATGAGGGCGTGAGTGAGGGAGTGAGTGAGCATCCAGGGCGGGCACGGAGCAACACTAAGCGCCAATCTGCTCCAATCTAGGGGCCAATGTGATGAGCACTGGGTTTAGGGGCAGACTATACTGTGAGTATGAGAAGAGACCCCAAGGAATAGTACTACTGCTTATGCAGGCTTATATATTAGAGTAGGAAGTGTCAAATGGGAGTTTCCGAAAATGAGGGACCCTAATATAGCACCCTGATTAGTAGGATCCTTATTATAAGGACCCCAGAATAAGGTACCCCTATTTTCGGAAACTCCCAAATAGTGGTGGTGCGAGGTCGCGTCTGCTCCCTGAAGCCCCAAACCAGACACCCTGAACCCTGAGATTTGGGCTCTAAACCTTACTGTTGCAATCCGTACAAATAAAGAAAGTTTATTACCGGTATTACTGTCATCATCCTCATCATCATGATCTTGTTGTTACAAGTATGTTTGTTCTTCTTCTTCTTCTTCTCACGATTGTCTCATTAGTCGCAAAAGCAAAAGCAGCAGCAGCAGCAGGAGGAGGAGGAGGAGGAGGAGTAGTAGTAGTAATAGTAGTAGTAGTAGTAGTAGCAGCAGCAGCGGCGGCAGTAGTAGTAGTAGTAGTAGTAGTAGTAGTAGTAGTAGTAGTAGTGGCAGCAGTAGCAGTAGTAGTAGTAGTAGTCGTAGTTTCATCGTTCTGCTTCGTATGAGCTTTTACGATGGTAGTTTCATTGTTATCCTTGGTATGAGCTATCACGATGACGAGTAGTCAATGACAGCTGTCATATGTATATATGTATACATATGCATGTTTGTGTTGCTTGGGTGCTTGTTCTTGTTGTCGCTCCTTTTTGGTCCCGGCCCACGTCACTGGTGCCGAGAAGATTTGTTGCTGTCCACCCCCTCCCGGCCAGAGTGTCCGTGTTGTTTATTCCACACCTCTTGGCTTCCGTAAAATGAGGCAAGCCCTCAACCGCCTAAGCCGTTTAACCGTAAAACCCTCACTCTTGCAACCTCGAATGCCTGAGGTTTGGCGAAAGATGCCTCTTCCAGGACCTGCTTTCGGGTTTGGGTTCTCCAATGGGTACAACTTCTGTGTTTTTGGTAGGGTGGAGGGGGAGGGGGGCAGGGAGAATGAAGCTTGAGGGGTTTAGGATCTACATCGGGTGGCAGGTTTGGGTTTTGGGGTTTCGGGCTTACCTGACCAAATTCTGCTGCGGTCTTCAATTACGCACTTTTAACCCTAAAGCATAAGCCCTGAGATTAAGTTAGGCCCAAGAAGGACTTAGGTGATGCTAGTCTTAGGTGGGCCTGAAGGGTGTTCGGACATGAGAACAGCAAGGTTCAGAAACGCGAATTATTGTGTTTCCGGGTCAAAATTAGGGTTTAGCATTTCAAGCCAACAGTTTCCGAAGGCTCCGTAGACATGCCACATGGGATCACATGGGCATATGTTCCCTCGCGGCCAAGTGTTCTGGTATACGCCAAGTCTGCAGACAGCAAGCCATCTTAAATACCGTCTAAGGCCCTACCTTAACCCCAAATAACCTACCTTTTTCAGGACTTATATAAGGAAATCATATTAAGGAGCCCAACACAGGTAGGTTGCGGAGGGTCCATGTAAACCTTAAATTGCCCAAAAGCAAGCCTTTTTGCACACCCCGCGACCCAAAGCCTCCCCCAACCCGTACAGCCCAACTCCGAAGTGCAATCCAAGTACCCTGAACCCCAAACTCAAACCTCAACTCTACCCTAAACCCTCAACCCGATACCTTGAACCCTGCCCTAAAGCCTAAACCCTCAACTCTATACCCTGAACTCTACCCTAAACCCTCAACCCGATACCTTGAACCCTGCCCTAAAGCCTAAACCCTCAACTCTATACCCTGAACTCTACGCTAAACCCTCAACCCGAGGATGATAGCCTTCGAGATTTCACTGCACCTGGGACGCAGGATTCGGGCTGCGAGCAGTGAGGTTTTATCATGCCAAATCGGTTCTTTGTAGGTCGTCGTCGACTGTTTAGGGTTTAGGGGTTTAGGGGTTTAGGGTCTAGGGGTTTAGGGGTTTAGGGGTTTAGGGGTTTTAGGGTTTAGGGGTTTAGGGGTTTTAGGGTTTAGGGGTTTAGGGGTTTTAGGGTTTAGGGGTTTAGGGGTTTAGGGTTTAGAGCTTGGGGTTGACTGATTGTTGGATGGGACCTGAAAGCCGATTTAAGTAAAGCCTGTGTGCAGCGAAAATATGTGGTATCAGATTTCACGGCTTTCGACCTACATCTGCAGCTACCGGATCGCTGACATAGGGTTTAATAGTTGGAGCAGTTTTTGTATATGGGGCTTGTTGGGCTAAGAGGATGTCTTTCAAAGCCTTACGAAAGTGGGGTTGTGGCGTAGCAGGAACTACCCGCAGGCCCCAAAGTAGTTCCTTTTTGGATTACCTTATAGGATTCTATATACGAACCCCAAAAAGGAACTACTTTGGGGCCTTAGGGTAGAGAGGGGGTTCATGTTCGCAGTATTCAGGGGATGGGGGCTGGCTTTGCTCAGAATTCCTTGGCTTGCGGCTCAGGGTTGGGTTTTGCATTTAGGGTTTTTAGGGGACCCTAGTTGGGGTTATGGTACTTATAAGTCCCTAAATAACCATGATAATTAGGAACAAGCATGTTGCGGGTTTTTACTGTTTAGTTGGGTTTAAAGGGAACTCCAGAAAGTTGGAATATGGTTTCAGCGTAGGATACCTTATAATGTACCATACAGGGTTTAGGGTAATCATATTCCAACTTTCTGGCTTTTACTTTAGGGGTTGGGTCGTTGGGAATTCTGGGTCGTTCGTGAAGCTGGGGTTCAGGGTTCAGGGGAAGACACGGTTCACATTGTAGCTGCAGTCTCCGGAGCAACGGCTGCGAAAAAGATGCTTCTACCTATAGTCTCCATTGTAGTTCCTTTTTGGGGTTACCTTATACGATCCTAATTATATAAGTGGTTAAACCAAAACAAGGAACTACAATGGAGACTATAGGTAAGCCAACAGCTACAACACAGCGCTGCATGGTATCCTCAGCATCTAAAGCCATCTTTGTCGTTATCGCCAGTGACTCCAGTGACATCCAAGGCTCGATCCCCAAACCCCGGAAGCCCTAACTACGGTTGATGATATAAATCCTGCATTACCTAATGGACCCTAACTATGGGAATTATGGTATATTCCTTATTATGGGTCATGCAGGATTTCTATCATCAACCGTATGCCCCGAGCCCCCATAGACTCGGACATCTTGAACCGCGAGCCCGTAAGCCCCACAGTCTCAATCGGTCAAACCACGTCACAAGCCGGACAATGCCCTGCAAAACCGCACATACAGCCCAGAAAAGCCGTACCCCTAAACCCTGAACCCTAAACCCTAAACCCTTAACAAAAAAACCCTGAACCCTAAAGCCTTGCTAGGATTTCTGAAGGGCCGCAAAGGGCCTTCTAGGCTCCCCCCGTTGCGCTTAGGTCATCACCGACGTGGACTCCGAGTTGGCGGCGGAATCCTCAGTCTTTCTAAGTGTTTCAGGAATTATAGGAGGTTTAGGGTTCAGGGTTTAGGGTTCAGGGTTTAGGGTTTAGGGGTTTAGGGTTTAGGGTTTAAGGTTTAGGGTAGGTGGCTTTCATGGTTTCCAGGACCCCCTGGAGCTTAACCGTAAGGCGAAGAGGGCTTCAACCTACTAAAAGGCCTGAATGATTACCACAGTATTCCTCAGGGTTCTTTGGTATGGAAAGATTCGACACGCTCCAAAACCCTATCCAAGTTACCGCATGGTTTGGGGTGTTTGGGGTTTAGGGGTTAACGTTGTAGGATGGTTGAGACAGGGTGCCGGGAGGAGGTTTTCACACGGAGGCTGGTTTGATTTGCGGCCCCCTTGTCCGGCGAACTTACAGGGCTTCTTCATCCGCGATCGGGCAGACGTTGTGGATCGCAGCGTGCGAATCCAGCATTCCACATGCGCAGAAGTTTGAACGCGTGGCTCTCGAATGGTCCAGCTACCTCACACTCGAGATCATTCCTACTGAGAACTGAGGAAGGGATGGAGGTGTCCAAAGCTCTCCTCATTCTCGGCAGCGATTTTCCGCATCGGAATACCCTATGTGAGCATACCTGGAGCATCTTAGCGCGCCTGCACAGAATCGTACGACCAGAAGAGCACCAGGAAGCATCGGCAATTGCAATTGTAAGCGCTGCTGCAAGACGAGAGATGTTAAATCAGGAAGACGTCCAGAATTGCATTCATAGTATCCGTAGAATTGTCAGAGTCTTCATCATGTAGGTTTTCAGAACGTGGCCACACTTCCAACAGCACCCGTAGCAAGAATACCATTGGTTCAGTTCCCAAACTCACATGTCTTCACTCCTTCTTTCCTTTCGTCCTTCATTCACTCATTCATTCAGCCTTCAGTCACTCGTTGATTGAGTCATTCGGTGTTTACACTGGTGGAGTGCGACCAATAAGCATGCAGAAGTTGTTCGAGGCCAACAAGATGAGCAGACTGATTTTCCATTGTAGCCAACTCTGGCTTAAACCCCAAGCCTTGAATCCTTTAGTTTCAGCTTGAAGCTCTAGGGATGTATGGGGTCGGGTTTACAGTTTACAGAGGCTTTAATCCTGCTGGGTACCCTTCGAACAGAAACGTGACTTGGGATGCAGATACGGCATATACTACTCACCCTAAACAGCACAAAGTCACAAAGTGAAGACACCCCGTTTCGCCCCCCCCCCTTTCCCGAGTTGTGGCCTGGTTGACTTGTCAGTGGTCATCGTGGTCACAGTGTAGGCCCCGTTGTGAGGCAGGCTCCGGACCTGCGCTTGGCGTGGAGAAAGGGTCCCGGAATCCATCTAAACCCTATAGGCCCCTAAACCAATCTGGACGTTAAAGCCCTCAAACCCTTCCCCAAACCCTTGTCACCCCCCAAACCCGAAAAATTATACCAAAAGGTGCTTGCCGCAGTGGACTACATGCGGATACTGAAACTGTATCCTCGGCTCCATAGGCTGGACCGTTGCGGTGGTTCCTTTTTGGGGTTTAGGGCCCTAGGGTCGAGGATTCAGTCGAGGGTTTGCCTCTTCGGGTCTGGGGTTCAGGGTCCAGGGTCTTGGGTTTAGGATCTAGGGTTTAGGGTTTGGGGTCTAGGGTTTAGGATCTAGGGTTTAGGGTTTAGGGTCTAGGGTTTAGGATCTAGGGTTTAGGGTCTAGGGTTTAGGATCTAGGGTTTAGGGTTTAGGGTCTAGGATCTAGGGTTTAAGCTCTAGGGTTTAGGGCTTTGAGTCTTAGGTTTAGAGACTCGGGTTAGGGTTTTGGGGTTTAGGGTTCTGGCACCCAGGGTTTCGTTTAGGGTCTAGGGGTTAGGGTTTGGGTCTAATATTTATCGTTTTGGGGTTTTGTTTTAGGGGTTGGGGTTTAGGGCTACGTAGACTTAGTAAAAGAGGAGGTAACCGATTATCCTTTTCGGGTGCTACTACCCCTTTACAATCCCAATGGTTAAACTTGCTTCTTTTGTAGAATGCTGGGCAAGTAAGAAGAGTTTCTGGGCTTAGGGTTTATGATTCGGGGCTTTATGGGTTTAGGGTTTAGGGTCTCAGGTTTCCAAGCTCAGGGTTTTTTTGGGTTTAGGGTTTAGGGTTTGGGGTTTCATGGTTTAGGGCACGTTTTTGAGGAAGTTGCGGGTGGTTTCGTCTGTGGCTTTGGGTTGGGCCATCGGTGTGGACGGGTGGGGGCTTGACGTTTCAACTTAACCAGCTCGGGATATTAGAAGGGTCGCTTTCTGCACACATTTAGCGTAAAACGATGTGTGCGCCGCCAGCCCTGCTCTAATTATGTCGAGGCCGCGACACCGTAAAGCCATACCTGCCAGCCGAAAGCCGTTTAGACTTGCCGAGAGTCCCTGAACATTAGAGCTGGTGTCGCTGGCTCGACTCCCTGTGTTTCCACCCAGATTGCCGTTTACCTAAGGCGATTATTTCAACGGTTTGTAGCACGATGCTTTCCGGCTCTGCGAGTAGCACGCAGGCATGCAAACAGTTGTTCGTAAACTTGAAACATGATCGAACTGGTCAGGTGAACATCCCTCAATCCTAAACCGAAAAGACTCTGCTCAGAAGGCTTCAGGGCTGGTGGCTCGGGTGTACTGTAGAGTTCCTGCATGCAGGGCATCGAGTTTCGGAATCCGGCGGTTACGGTCCAGGGCTCCAGTTCCAAACTATGCTTCCTTGAAGCCTTGTGCTGCAGGCAGCATGAGCAGCTTGTCACCGCCATAGAAAAGAGGAAGATGGATTTGGCCGATCTGTCCTACAAGGCTATTGGGTTGCAATGAACCCTCCTAAACTTCCAAACCCCAATCCTTAAGCCCTAAACCCCTACTTTCCGACCTAGCTACATACATACATTACATAGGTACATACATATTTACGAACACAAGATGTATGTGCAACTCTCTGTCTGTCTGGCTGGCTCTCTCTCTCTCTCTCTCTCTCTCTCTCTCTCTCTCTCTCTCTCTCTGTGGGGGTTAGGGTTTCAGGCTTGCGGGCTTGTGTTACGGGTTCCCTTCCACCAAACATCAAACCCCAAGTGTGCAGCGCTGGGGTTTCTGAGCCCACAGAGTCCGGATGTAGGGTTCATGGCTCATGAACGAACACCTGCCCTCATCTTGTTTCGTAGGTAGGTAGGTAGGTAGGTCGGCACATGTAGGTAAGCAGGTAGATACGTATGAATGCTTGCATGTACGTATGTAAGTATGTGCGTCTGCATGTTTGCATGCATGCATGTGAGCATGTACAAAAAAGCAGGTATATTATGTGTACACAAACAGACACATGTATAGACAAGAGCTAACCAAATAGAAAGGCTGGAAGGAGGGAGGGAGACATCCCCACACAAAAGAGAATGGTCTGCCTACGTAATTCACAGGTTCACCCGTGGGTTTCAGTGCATGCATTGCATTGCATTGCAGCAAACTGCATTACATCTCAGGTCAGGACATTACTGTACAGTGTACATTCCAGCATTCCGTTTCATTGCACATGTTCTGTAAGTCAGCACATGTCATGACATTCAACTACATTCTTTACGGTGCGCGAGCATATTTCGTTACCAACGGCCTTCGCCCAAACCGCATCCTTCCGATCCCCTGTGCATCTGGGGACGCACATCGGAAACTGTAAATAATGCACGGATCCGAACAATCAGTATTGGTGCCCCCAGACCCTGCTCCAACTGTGTTTTAAGACTCCTACGTTACCTTCAAGCTCTACGTAAACTGATTTACTGCCTTTTTTGGTGGAGCTTTTTTTGTAAGTGCAGCGTAAACGGGGGTAGCTTGGGAGTGAGTCCTTACACTACGGGTATCGGGTTGGGTTGGGTTCCTGGAGTGAGGACCCAGACGTTACGCCCTTGCGTGCAACGCTAAGTCCTCATGCAGGCGATCGAACAAGATCAAGTCGGTGTCAGAGGACGGCGTTCAGCTTCGTAGTCTGTTGCCTTTGAGCATGCTGCTGCTTCCCGTCAGGGCGTGGTGTGTTACTGTGGAACTTTGAGACTAGTGAAGGATAGGGCCCAGGGACGTGTATCCCGTACTCCTCGCTTCGTTCTTCTTGTGATGACTTCTACCAGTGCGAAAACCATTCAGTAACCTGGGTCGCAAGAGTGTCCATGGTTTAGGAATTTAGGGTTTGTGGCTTAATTTGTAGCTCTGGGACTCGAAGTGTTCATGGTGGTTTCGGACTTGTAGGGGTCAGCGTTTGGACTTCTGGGTCGAAGGCTGCAGACTTGGGGGCTTAAGGCTGGGATTTTTGAGCTTTACAGTCTTGGTTGTAGTTGGTTGTAATGCAGCCCTTGATGCACTTGTCAGGCAACTTCCTTCTAAAAACCCATCGAGCCGAAAGGTCCGATCGATCGATTCATGGTTGATGTTCTGGCATCTGCTTTGCAGCACGTGGCTAGGGTTAAAGGGTTTAGGGTTTACTGTGGGAGTCTCAAATTCTCATGACCATGCCTACAGCTACACTAATACCAGTACTCATCACCTCACTCATGGTCGTGTCACAGTTCATATCCCGAAAAGTAAACATTTAGCCTGAACACCTGGAAAGTGGAACCGGGACAGTTTCGGGTTATGGGCCATAGGGCTTTTAAGGGCTGTAGGTTTTAGGGTACGGGGAGTATACTCCTGCACTCTGAGAAACCGGACACCCGTCAGCATCTAATATATAAGCCTAAATAATTGCCAAGAGTATACCTGAGGGTCCCTTACATTACCCTCAAACCCTGAGCCTTCAGCGAAGCTCCTCGTGGGAGGATGCCTGGACCGTTGCCTGAGCCTGTTCAGACGCTGAAAATCACCGGGCCTTTAGCTCCAGGAAGTGAAAAAATCCCGTGCAACATGGGCTTAGTCTAGAGGTCCCTCTAGTAGGGGTCTAGCTGTTTAGTGTTGAGGTAGAATTCATTAAACCCTAAACCCTAAACCAAGACAAGTAAATGCAGAACACCTCCATGGCAAGCCCTGTTCCAATACCCAGGCCTCTTAAATGGGAGTTGGTGGCAGGTTCGGCATCGGGTGCACAGGTTTAGGATTGAGGGTTTAGGGGGCACGGTTTAAAGCTCCGGACTGGGAAAACTCCGTCGCCACCCGAGGCAGAGAAGGGGATCTGAATGCATTGGGCCTTGATAGTTGGAATAGGGTTCTGGATAAGGTACAACATGTTAGTAATGACTCCATCCCTATATGTACTAGTTCAGGTTCTCGAACGAAGAAGGGTTCGCTTGGATGGACTGACAGGTTAATCTAGGGGCCTGGAGAACTAGCAGCAGTGTTCCTGACGGCTCCTTCTTAGAACTATAATATACACCGAAATTTTGAAACTCCTTTCCTAATGATTAGGGCACGATGGTAGGAACGATCGCGGCTGCTAGGTTCAGCAAGTGGGCAAGCTTCCCCCATCCACCCTACATCCTCAGCGCTGCACTGGTTGAAGGGCTTTGTTCGCACACCCATGCACGTCAACCATACAGTGTAGTTTAGGCTTCTGCGGTTTAGAGATCCCCACATTTCGACCCCGAACCCCAAAAATCCCTAAGCCGTGACACTGGACCCCAAGCTCTAAATGCGTTTGGGAGCCTCTGGCCCCGGTGACACTATGGTCCCTACGAGATAATGATCCGCCAAGCTTCCTGGCCGATCGCAAACCTAAGACGGTTAGGATTTAAGGTTAAAGGCTTATGGTTCAGGGTTGACTTTGTTTTTTCGGAGATGTTGATGCTACTACCACCACCAGTACTAGTACTAGTACTAGTACTAGTACTAGTACTAGTAGTAGTAGTAGTAGTAGTAGTAGTAGTAGTAGTAGTAGTAGTAGTAGTAGTAGTAGTAGTAGTAGTAGTACACTAGTAGTAGTAGTAGTAGTAGTAGTAGTAGTAGTAGTAGTAGTAGTAGTAGTAGTAGTAGTAGTAGTAGTAGTAGTAGTAGTAGTAGTAGTAGTAGTAGTAGTAGTAGTAGTAGTAGTAGTAGTAGTAGTAGTAGTAGTAGTAGTAGTAGTAGTAGTAGTAGTAGTAGTAGTAGTAGTAGTAGTAGTAGTAGTAGTAGTAGTAGTAGTAGTAGTAGTAGTAGTACTACTACTACTACTACTACTACTACTACTACTACTACTACTACTACTACTACTACTACTAGTACTTCTACTACTGCTACTTCTACTGCTACTGCTATTGCTACTGCTGCTACTACTACTACTACTACTACTACTACTACTACTACTACTACTACTAGGATTACTGCTGCTGCAGCTGATCACTGCTACTGCTCCTGCTCCAGCTGCTGCAGCTCCCTGCTCCCTCTCTGCTGCTGCTGCTCCTGCTACTGCTACTTCTCAAACTCCTACTCCTGCAGCTAGTGCCGCTTCTCAAATTCCTACTCTTGCTCCTACAGATGCTGCTGCTGCTGCTGCTCGTCCTGCTCCTGCTCCTCCTGCTCCTCGCGCTCCTCCTGCTCCTCCTGCTCCCTTGCTCCCTGCTCTCCTGCTCCTGCCTCCTGCTCCTGCTACTGCCAATGCCTGGCCATAGTACTATCTTATTCAATTCCTCTTGCGCTTGTCAATGCTGCTCACCTCGTAAAACCCGAGGGGTCGAAGCCAGGAAGCCGTCGAATCCAAAAGCGGAGCGATGCCACTTAAGGGGTGGAGGGAGGGTTCTGGGCCGGGATAAGATGCAGTACTCATAGAGGTGGGGAGGCTCGGGGTTGCAGTATCGTTCTGCCTCGACCACAAAACTTGAACGTTTCAACGTCGCATGGACCTCACGCCCAGAATCTTCCCTCCTACCCCTGGTTGCATTCCACCCGCCGTTTTCCCACTTTGCCGTAAGCCTGGCGGGCCTGCATGCAGAAGCAGATTGAAGGTGTGCGGAGCGGTACTTATTACAGGCTGATAAACGTCATTAGAAGGTTCTCATCAGGATGATCAGGATGTTTCTTGACCCCGGCGCTTTTGTCCTCATGAGTGTTTTCTGGATGCAGGGTATGTCAAACGCTTGAAGAGGGTTTGGTGTCTTCGCTTGCGCATCCACAGACCCCAAGTGCTGGCCCACACCCTAGGCCCCCAGAAGACATAGACCCTTAACCCTTGACCCTAAACTCTAAACCCCCAAAAACCTTCAGCCCCATAACTCCGAATGCCTGGATGAAGCCAAAGGCTCCAACTCCAACAATCCGAAGCCCCCAAGCTTACAAAAGCCCACAAAGCCCCACGATAAAAAAACATCGCCTTGGAGCCTTTATAAGAGTTTCCGAAAATTAGGGGTACCTTAGTTTGGGGTCCTGGTATGTTTCCACAATTTCATAGGCCGGCATTTCTCAGAGATCAGAAGTAAGGTACGTACAGGAACCCGTATTTCGGAGGCGCTACAATGAGGATTCAATGTTCACTGTCCGCATTAGGGTCTCTTTTTTGGGAAATGCCCGACTCATGCCAGCACCTGGTTCGAGGCTTATACATGAATAATGTCTGCATCTAAAGACTGGTCAGGTTATACAATTTCCTGAGATGTTGTTACTCTATATAATATTTCGAGCGAAAATCGTCGTACTGCGTGGCCTGCCATGACCAACGGCTTGCAACCAGCTGGCACAACCCTTGCTGCGCAGCCCGGAACAAAGCGCAGGGTAGTGTAGGATAGGTGCAGGGAATAGGGTTTCGGAGATTTAGAGAACCGGAAATCCTAACTGAGCCTTAAACACTAAAGCTCTCGAGCCCGAAGGCAAAAACCACAGGTTGTTCATAGGCAGCAGGGCGGATGTCGGACCGGCTGGCACGGTGCCAGGTGTTTCGTGCCAGGCGCAGAGTACCACCGGGGCCGGACACGTGCTTATTGAGGGTTCAGGGTTTATAGGGACCGAACCTCAAAGAAGGACCCTCATTTTGCTGGACTCTCCATGGCATAGTGAGGTGATGTATATGCTAAGCTTCAGCCCACACCCGCAAATCCCTGGCCTCTAAAATTGAAAACCACGAAGTCCCAATGTAAACGACGAAGTCCCGTGAAACTCCAAAACCTCAAAATCGGCCCCGAAGCCCCAAACTCTAACAACTCTAAACTCAAAAGTCCAACACCAGACTCCGAACTTGAAGCTTCATATCAATTGTAGTATAAGTCTTAGAGTGAGTGCTATAATGAAATCCTTTTCTTTATTTGATCGCTATGCATACACTTCTTGGCCGACTCAGCAGCTATGGCCGCGGGGCCAACCCAAAACCCGTTCGTGTGAGACCTCAAGCCCAACCAAACCCCAAACCCTAAAGGGTGGCGCGGTCAGACAATAGACGGACATGCTTCGTTGGAGGTGGAGTGTGGTGCAGGATCTTGCGCGGGGTGGGGGTCCAGAGAGTTGCAGTGGCAGCGCCAGTGGTGGTGCTGGTGCTCGTGGTGACGGCGGTGCTTATAAGTGCTAATGCTAGTGGTAGTTGTGGTCTTGGTAGTTTAGTTGAAAACAGCTCACGGACTGGAAAACAACTGGTTCTCGAAGCATCCCGCCCAGAATCCATCCGCGCATACACGGGAATCCCTGGAATGGAAAAAGCTATGGCTAGTCCCCAAAATACCCATCAGCGTTACCAAACAGCAACTCGACAATGCACTTCCAAAACTGTGTGATAGTTGGGTAACATTTTACATCTTTATGGGTACTTAAACCCAATAACCAACAAGAATAGAAATGTACAAATTTTAATCCTATCCCAACAATGAACTAGAAAATCCAGGACCCATCCGAGTGTCAAAGGCCTAGGGACTCCGACATTGAACCCCAACCTGTAGGATATCCTAAGGACACCTAGACAGGGCGATCCCCTATTCAGGCACCAATATTGAGCCGAGAGCCATGCTTTGTGATCCGTGTCCCGATGGTGGTTCCCTGCGAGTCCATGATCTAGGTGAAGCAACCATCAGGCCATTCTGTGTCACCTCAGAGTCAACAGCTGCCGGCCTTTCCTTAGTCTATTGGGGTTCTGAATGTCTGGTTGGCGGTTTGTCGATCTTTGCCGCGGCCGAAGAGACTCAGCGTGTTTTCTGAGAGCAGATCCGCTTTCTGATGTGCGGAGAGTCTCAAGCAACATGTTTAACTTGTCTGAAAGGCTGGTTTCAATGATCTACATCCTGTGCACTCCGACGGTACTGTAGTACTGTGTATTCTTCTGATGTTCTTAGAGCCGTTCAAGCATTTGAAATAGCTGCTGTCACTGTCGCGGATGCTGTTCGACAGTAGGCCATGGGAACTGATAGTTCTGACGGCTCGCCATGCCTCACCCTTAAACCCGAGATGCTTAAAATAGGGGCCTTAATAATTAGAATAGGTTTTTGACGCCCATTATAGTATAAGTTTATTAAGGAACCCGCAGAATAGTATTGGTAATTATTGGGGCCCCTACAGCAGCCTTAACTGTTGCTGCGCGTTTGCTTGGGCGTTCTCTGCTCTCTCCCTGGCAGTGGGCATCAGGACCGACGAATCCGCAAACGTGAAGTTCGAAGCGAACTTAGGAGGGCTGCAGTTAGGGGAGGTACAGCAGCAGCAGTAGTAATACTTGTAGTAATAGTTGTAGCAGCAGTTTAGTCGTAGTGGTAGCACTCGCACTAGCACTAAAAGCAGCAGTGGCAGCAGTAGTAGTAGCAGTCGCAGTAGCAGTCGCATAGCTGGAGCAGCGGCAGCAGCAGGAGCAGGGGCAGGGGCAGTAGCAGTAGCAGTAGCACTCGGAAGTAGCAGTGGTAGTAGCAGTAATAGTAGTGGTAGTAGCAGCAGCAAGAGCAGCAGCGGCAGTAGCAGTCGCCAGTAGCTAGCTGACCCAGTCCC